TTTCAGATACAATGGCACAGAGTAGACAAAAAGCTACATGTAAACAGGTTTGGGAATATTCAAGGCAGAGAGAGAAGAGCACAAAAGGGTTGAGGGTTTCTGTAAAGGACTGATCATAATGATGGATCATGAAATCTAAGGTAGGCAAGGAAGGAAGTGGAAACACAATATGGTCAGCTAAAAAAAGAGAACTTGCATGTGCTAGGAATATAATTTGCTAAAGGCCATACCATATAAAATCATAGTAAAAAAAAAAAAAACAACCCACAGTGAATATGGTCTTAATGTAAAGGTTAATGTAAGCTTTATAATGTAAGGTTTCAGGCCATGCTTTAAAATTTGATTGGGCTGGATATGTGAGGAAACAAGAATCTAAATATTAGTGCTAAAAGAGATTTTAAGAGATTATGCAGATCAAAAAGTAGACAGAGAATTACCATAGATTCCAGCAATTACATTTCTGGGTATATAACTAAAAGAACTAAAAGCAGAGACTTGAACATATATATCAATGTTCACAGGAGCATTATTCAAAACAGTCAAAAGAAGCAAAGAACCCAAATGTCCATTGACAGAGGAATGGCTATACAGTATATGTGATGTATATAGAATGGAATACCAGTTGGGCTTAAAAACAAAGGAGATTCTGATACATACTACTTACTACATACATATTACAAAATGGTAACCTAAGTGAAAGCAGCCAGTGACAGAATGACAGATACTGTATGATTCCACTCATACAGATACCCAGGGCAGGAAAATTCACAGAGACAGACAGACAGACCTGGCTGGTGGGCCAGGTGAGGTGGGAGGAGAAAATGGAGAGCTACTGTCTAATGGGGACAGTGGTTCAGTATGGGAAGATGAAAAAGACCTGGAGATGGGCAGTGGTGAGGGCTACACAACAATATGAATGAACTAATGGCACACAACTGTATGCTCAGAAGAATTAAGTGGTAAAATTTATATGTATATTTTACCACAATTCAAAAAAAAAAGAAATTTTATACAGGACCTGATCTAAATAATGTTCAGGTTCCACAGAGCTTCCTTTAAGAACTGAAGAAAAGAGGACCACAACAAACTAAATCTAGGACTTTACTACTGTTTAAATTAGAGCAGCCAGCATGTTTAAAACTATCAACCCTAATTTTATACATTAGTAAAGAAGGCTTCAAGGATGTAAGGAGCTCAAGGTCCCATAATAGATCTACAGAAAAGCTGACCTGAGACTCTAGGTCTCATTGGTGATTTTCGGCTACTATCACCTTCTACAATGTGAAGGTGAACATTATAAATTACTTCAGCACTACTCTAATGATATAATAAAACAAAACATAAAGTAAAAGGAGACCTAAAGAGTATCAAAGGAATATTGCAAGGAAATGGGAAGCTTGCAAGTGAACATAAAAGGACACCAATACTCGAAATATTAGGAAATAAAAATATTCAGGAAGTAATTTTGTTTTCAAAACTAGCAGAAAAATGAAAGTTGACATCACCATAGATTTCACTGTGTATTCAAAAATAGGGAACTACTATGAATAACTTTATACCTATAAATCTGACACTTGAAGCAGATAAATTTGTTTTTAAATTTTTATTTATTATTTATTTTAGAGAGGGACAGAGTGGGGAGGGGCAGAGGGAGAGAGAATCCCAAGCAAGTTCCATGCCCAACACAGAGGCTGACTAGGGTTTGATTTCAGGACTCTGAGATCACGACCTGAGCTGAAATCAAGAGTTGGACATTTAACCAACTGAGCCACCTATGCACCCCAGACAAACAAATTTCTTTAAAGACATGGACTACTAATGCTCATTCAAGAAGAAATAAATAACCTGACTTACCCTATATCTGTTAAAGAAACTGAATTTGTGGATATAAAAGACCAGATAGTTTCTCTGGTGAATTCCACCAAACACTTAAGTAAGAAATAATACTAATTCTACACAAATTTTTCTAAAAAATTAAAGAGAATATTTCCCAACTCATCTTGTGACTCCAGCTTCAGTTTAAAACCAAAAAAGAACTCCAAGATATTAAGAAAGCCATTAACTAATATTCCTCATTAACATAAATGCAAAAGTTCTTAACAAAATTTTTAAAAGATTTATCATTAAAAAACAACCAAACACACACATCATGACCAAAGGAAGCTTGGTCAGAGAATGAAAGGTCGGTTTAACATAAACTAATCCATCATCCTATTTAGCCATATTAATAAACTAAAATAAGAACCACATGAACATCTCAATAGTAGCAAAAAACAAAAACAAAAACAAAAAAACCACCAACCCAAAAAGCAAACAAAAAAACCCCACAAAAAACAAAAACATGTGACAAAATCCAACATCTATTACTGATTAAAATCTTTCAAAAACTAGGAACAGAAAATCTTCCTCAACCTTATAAAGGATATCTAAAACAATCCTAGAGAAAACAGCATACTTAATGATCAGCAACAAAATAAAAATGTCTGCTTTTATCACTTCTGTTCAATAATGGACTGGAAGTTCTAGTCAGTACAGTAAGACAGTGGGAGATCAGTATAATGATAAATAAATCAATGGTCCAAAACAAAATCCATGATACATATATGTCATTTGGTTTTTTTTTTTAAAGGAGGAAAAGGCAATTTAGTGGAAGAAAAGATAATCTTTTCAGGCAACAGTGGTGAATAACGAATACACAGATTAAAAAAAAATTAAGGGCAATCCATACTTTGTGCCATATAAAAAAATGACTCAAAAATTTTTTGGTAGGATTTAAACAATGCCTTTGTGTTGTGATTTCTTTGTAGGGCAGAACTTTGGATTTCTTTTTCATTGGAAAGTTGCAGTAATGGAAGTAATCTTCACCAATTATAAAACTCAAACTAGAGCAAAGCAGGAGAAAATCTTTGTGACTTTTAGGCAAAGAGCCTTCTTAGATATGACACCAAAAAAAGGATGTCCATACACAACAAATTTTGATGAGTCCAATGTGTCCATTAAAAACTTCTGTTTAAAACAAATTGTAAAGTGAATAAGACACGCAACAGAGTAGGAGAAAATATCGGCCAATCAGCTATGACTTATGTTTAAAATAGAAAAAACAACTGTTACAATTCTATTAAGAAAACAACCCAATTAAAGACACATTTGAAAAGATACTTCAACCAAAAAGTCCTACAAATGATAAACAAGCACAGGCGAAGATGCACAATGCAAATTAAAACCACTACACACCTACTGGAATGGCTAAAATAAAAAGGTTGAGCATGCCAGGTAGTGGTGAGGAGGTAAAGCAACTCAGATTTCATGCACTGCTGCTGGGGGTTGGGGGGTAAAATGGTACCACCACCTTGGAAAATACTTGAGCAATTTCTTAAAAAGTTAACCACACACCTACTATGTAATCTGGCCCTTCCACTCCTAAGCATTTGCACAAGACAAATGAAAATCTATGCCCACACATAGAGACTTGCCTATGACGATTCTGAGCATTCTTAATTTGAAATAGTTCTGAAATGGGAAGAGCTCAAGTGTTCACCAACATACAAAAATAAATTATGGTACAGTGATACAATGAATACACTTCAGCGATAAAAAGCAATGCATTACTGAAATACCCAATATGGAGGAATCTCAATTATGCTAGGGGGAAAAAAGACAGTGTGTGTAATTCCATTTACATAAAATTCTAGAAAATGCAAACTAATCTATAACATGAGGAAGCAGATTTATAGCTACCTGCAGAGAAAGAGGGCAGAAGTAGGAGGAAAGGAGGAAGAGGGAGATTAAAGTTTTGGAGGTGATGACTCTATTTGTTTTCTTGATTGTGGTTATGGCTTAGTGTGTACATATGCCAAGATCAAACTACATTTTAATAAATATGTGCAGGTGTTTTAACTCAGGTATACCTAATAAACCTGTTTAAAACAATTCTGTTTTATTTAAACATTATTTAACAATGATGTTAACAAACCAAACAGAATGACTACCTTTTAAAGTAGTGTGATTACTACAGAAATACCACATTCTGATTATTAACATCTTATAAATAGTATGAAAAGAAAAATCCTTGGATGAGAATTCATGATAATGTACAGACTAGTAATTAATGATTACTTAGGCAAGAACTTACTGTTAACTGATTAAAAGTTTCAACTATACTCTTTTTAAAATGCCCAAAGTCAGTAGACATTTCCAAAGTATGAAATGCATAAATTTCTTTTGCCAAAGTTTGAGTTATAATGTACACTTGACAGCTAATCAGTCCTTTTTATTACTTGCATAGAATTATTTTTCCTATTTTTACCAAAAGATTTTCTTAGAGAAAGAATTAACAGTGGGAATTAGTAGCCTTAAAAAAATATCTTTTGAGAAATTTTTCCCCTAAAAATTACTTTGTTGAGAGGGACTTAAAATCAGAGTAAGAAACACACGAGTTAAATACCAACTTAATAAAAGTCATACTTGAATGTATGATCATGGGACATTTGGGAGGTACTTCATGATTATACAAATTCCTACAATTTTTGCTCTTGATCTCAAGTATTATGAGACATTATTACACACAAGGCAATGTGCTACATGCTATTCCTATCAGAAAAATAAATGTTACATAAGAGTATTTGATATATTTTAAGGAATTAACATCACAGGAGAGAACGTTAACTTCAAAAGTGACACTTGTAGAAATAGAACAGTACCACTATAATTATATAATGGCTATTGTAATTACATTTTATTAAGAACTTCAGCTGTATTTACTCAGAAAAATCTGTAGCCAAAACAGGTTACATTCAACTCCCTTTAAAATTGCATTCTCTTATTAACAAAACAAATAATTTTTATGATTGCATATTTGTTGAAACCAAGGAAGAGTAATCTGAGGGAACAACAATTTAACTACGTTGGAGACAAAGTCCAGTTCAAAACTAAAATGCAAACAGTTTGTTTTTCTTGTTAAAGAATGCAATTTCTAATTTCAGTTGAATGATATTTTGTACCTTATTCATGTTTGGCTCCTCCATCATAGAATTTTTGATGGTTTCACAGTTGTCCTCTAATGACTTCATCAAGAAAGAATAACCACATGACAAAGAGTAAAGACGAGATATAACATGCAAAATACTGGGGTATTTTTTAAAATTATATTTTTGACCGAATTTACTAGAAAACAATACTGGACTGAGTCATTACCTTTTAAATATCATACATCTTAAAAGAAGCATGTGTGGGGTACATTGGTGGGGGGCTGGAGAAAATTTAATGCCTCAAAACTCATTAACCACTACCATAAATTTTATTTCACCTCCGAAGAAATTTTAACCAACTTAACTGATTTTGAAATGTTGACATTAAAGCAACATTGAGCCCACAGTTCTAATGTTATAAATTTCAAAGCTATTGGTGCCACAGTACTCTAACCTGATAATTAAAGTCAACTTGTTCTTCTTCATACACACTACTATGCCTTATCTCCATCATGGTATCTCACTCCTCAAGAAAACCTCCTGATTAGAACATTTAGAATTCAAGGTTTCTAATTCTTTCTCTTTATTTAGCCAGAAATAGTCAATAAATTGATTGAAGGCACACATCCTTCTTAAAAGGGGATATTAGCATTTGTTAAAGAAGTGATTCAAGACCTTTAGTTCTCAGAAAATGAAAGAAAAAAGAAATATTAAGTAGGGGACAAAGATGATAGCTGTCAAGTATTTTTTTCTGGTTGGAAATTATTTAGATATAGTCTATCTGCAGCTAACTACACTTAATTTCAAAATAAATATAAACTGGAAAGATCTTCTATTTTAAAAATATAGTATATAAAAAGAAAAGATCTGAGGATATACCAGGATTTTAAATTTTAACATCAGATGGAGAAAATTTCATTTTCAAATGTGTAAGGAATAAAGAAACAAACAGCAGCAGTCTCAGAATCCTCCCAACCAAAACACTGGGCCTGTTTGGCATCTATTTCCTAAACACCTGAAAAGTCACAGTGACTTGGACTCAAGCTACTTAAATACAATTATCGTCTTACAAAAAAAGAGATGGAAGGTAATTCTGTTAATAACAAAAATAAGCTAGTCAACTGTAAAGATTAAATAATATACTAATTCTATGAAGTTAATATTCTTTTTAATTCTACCCAATCTATGATTCCCCATATAAATTTTTCATTTTCATATTCCCTTTATCAAAATATCACTATTTTTAAGAATATCACCATCAAGAATAAAAAAATGAAAATAAAATTTAAGAAAGAATAAAGTGGTAATAACTAATTTCTAGTAACTACCATTAATCATGCCAGGTTTTAAGTAAGTTAGATTTACTGGTCAAAACACAGCAGATTAAGGGGTATTTTACTCATTTTGCAGATAAAAAACCTAAAATTCAGGGAAAATATTTAGCTTACTGATAATTATAAAGCTTTTAGTCTAACATCCATAAACATGCTTTTGGTTAAAATAATAACACAAAAATAACTTTAAAATTTTCTTAAGGTATCATAAAACTCCTAAGAAAACTAATAATAAAATAGCAAAGGGATCAAAAGGTGTACTTATACTTATTTACCTGTTCTCCTTCCTTATGCATTTTGGCTTATGCTACTCTCTTTCCTTAGTGATATTATTCCCTGATTTAGCTAGACAATCTAGTGGTATAACAGCTTCTTGTTTTGTTTGACAACTATTTAATTTCCCAGATATAATGACTATATCAGCAGTAGAGAAATGTTTTTATTTTTACACCTATATTAATCAAATACGGCCATGTTTTAAAAAAAAAGATTTTGTAGTTGAAATTATGCCAACTTTCATATTCATATTATAAGCTACATCAAAAAAACAAAGAAATAACAGAGTAAACATACTTTTTATACAGAATAATGTAGCAGGGTTTTATAAATTATTGTGAGAATGCTTTAACTTCTGATACATTATTTTAGGCAAGGATATATTTAAAATAAAAGAAATATTACCTTATCAGTAAATACACCCTAATTAATTAGTTTCTGATCCAGTACATTTTAAATTTTATTTATCCCAAAATTTTCTTGAACTGTTTAATGGTAATTCATATATGCAATACTTAAGATATATCTTACATAAGGTAAAATAAAAATACTTCATTTGTATTATATCTATTTTATCTATTGTTGGCTTAGTTTTCAATGTCACACTAAGGTACACAGAAGTTTTCTAAGCTAAAAATTATGTCTATTTCCTGGCTTGGCTAATTCAAATATATAATCTGGCAAAAACTAAATAATGGTGCATTCAGTTGCCTCTTATAAAACAGTGTTTAAACCAAGAGGCAATGAAATCTATGTAATTTTCCCTTTTATTCATTAAGATTATATGACATCTTGCTTTTTGCTAACTTGTCTTTTAAGAAACCATTCTGATGCACAAACTTGTTGAGTCACTAAGTTGAAATTGAAACTAACGTAACACTGTATGTCGACTATACTGAAAAAAAAAAAAAAAAGAACGAAGTTAGCAAAAAGAAGCTATTCTATTCCCTTATTCCTTCCTCCAAATGAAATGACTTCTTGTTTTCCCTCCCACTTCAAAACCATACAAAGCTTGCTTTAAGTCTAGTTCAATGCTTCTCAAATGTGATCCACAGACCAGCTGCTGGTCTTGAAACTCTTTGTTACTAGTCCATGAGGTCGTAAGGAATTACTACAATCACCAAGTCCACTACTGAGTTTGCCCAGTATTTTTTAATAGCAATACTGTCCCCAAAAAAGAAGTAATATATTAATTTACATTCAGGTGCAAGTTCCCCATATCATCCAAATGGAACTTTTTAAAGCCATGAACTAAATGAGAAAAATAATCATTATAATGATAATATCATAATATAATCAACTACAGTAAACTTACAAATTGTGCTTATAAAATTTCATTAAGAAGGATAATCAATAAAAAAATAAATTAAAAAAAGAAGGATAATCAAAAGAATAGAAAGAAAATGTACATATTTGAAATGTTCTCAGTCTACCAACCTAGTTTCAGTTAAACTTCTAAGATAAACTTCTTTTAGCTATCATATGAAAATCATGGGGAATTTCTACTTTGTCTCCCAACAGGCACTCATGACAGCAAACAAGTTGTAGAATCTTCACACAAACAGTAGTTTTTTTTGGGGGGCGGGGGAAGCTCCAAATATATCTGAATTAGTTCCTTTAAATTAATTTGATTTAGGAAAATACTGACCCCGCTTTCTCCTTTTCAATCACTTTTTCTATTTACTAACAGCATAATAAATGTTTATGATATAAAAGTGAGCTTTTTAAAAGTCTGTAAATTGCAACTTCTTTTTTATGGTTACATAATGAAAAAGACTTCATTAATACTAGAGTAAAAAGGTTTTAACTTATACAGACCTCATTTAGACATCTTTTCTTTGTGAATATATTTCTGATAAAGGTTTCCTGAATTTCTTCCTGCTTCACCAAGTACTGCCATAGTCTCTTCACGGACAGTGCCAGATGGTGTTTGGATCTACAGGGACAGGATACTTAATTATACACTTTGAAGATTTCTGATTAACTTGACCACATTCCCTTTGTGCTCTATAAATGTTTATAATAATAAATTAACTGGAATCAGACAATACCATTGAGGGCACCAGTCTTCAAACTTTTTCTTAAAAAACCAGACGGTAAATATTTTAGACTTTGTGGGTTATCTTTCAACCACTCAACTCAGTCACTGATAGGAAAGCATCCAGAAGAAATATTAAAATCAAAGGGTATGACTCTGATCCAATAAAGCTTTATTTATATTGCAGGAGGATGGGTGGATGTGGCTTCAAAGCTGTAGTTTGCTGACCCCGGGAACATAATATCTACCAAAAACAGATCACTACTAGAAGATATCTAGAAGCAGAGCTACTCAAATGGCCTGTGAACACATACCAGTCCATGAACTCTGTTACTGATGCTAAGGTAAGAACTTGCGAAATAATGTAAATCAACTATGTCACTAAGCCACTAAGTACAGTATATATTAATTCAGTTAACATTTTGTAGAAAGACTTTATTGATGATGCAAGCACTGCATCGATTTATCTTTTCATGCAAATGCTTCATCTCTTCATGGATGATAAAACAGCTTGCTAACTAGATATTATGAGCAGCACTGTTCCAGAGCGGGAGAAGTAAACAATGGCCCACAGGTCAAATTCAGCCTGCCTTTCATTTTTGAAAATAAAGTTTATTGGATCACAGCCATGTCCATTTGTTTACTTATTGTCTATAATTGTCTTCACTCTACTCTGGCAGTTTAATAGCAGCAACAAGGACTGTGGGGTCCTCAAATCCTAAGGCATTTACTCTCTGGATCTTTGCAGGAAATGTTTGCTAAGCCTACAATATACATCAAACAAAGACACAGATAGGAGCCAAGAACTGCAAAGCAGGCAGAGGAGGCCTTAAATATTTTTAAAGTACTAATTGATAACATTCTGAGTTAGTAAAACTCTGACTTAAAAACAGAATCCACAGGACAACCTACTTGAAAGGAGTGTTTGTAGGTTCCAGCAAAGCTTTATGGCGGAGAATTGCAGGACCCCCAGACAAACTCTCTTCAGATGTATGACTTGCAATATAGTTTTGAGGTGGCCCACCATGGATTTCAAGTCGTCGGAGAAGAACTTGCTCCCAACACTGAAGAGTTTTTAGAACCGCATGACAAAGTGGTGAACTAACTGGAAGCTCTAAAAAGAGAAAAAAATGATCCAAGTTTATCTTCTTCAGTAAAATGCTACAGTTGATTTTAAGAATGACTGAGACAGACATTTTGGCAGAGGAATTGTCCAGGAGAGTGGGGAGAGACCTCCAGAGGCTCAAAAAAAAAAAAAAAAAGATGTAATAAATCTCTGTTCCAACATAATTAGGTGGCCTGGAGCAACAGAAAAAAACGGTAATCTGAGTCAAAATTATACCACAGTTTTACTACTGCAACTTGGAATAATATTTATGACTTATACTGCTATATCAATTACTGCTTTTGGCTTTGATTTCACATTAACGAATTTACCTGAATATTATGAAAATATGTCGGAGAGGAAAAACAATTGCTTTAAATCTTTGCATCAGCCCAATGTCTATATGGTATGTAACTAAAATTTGTTTAGAAAATTAAAACACACAGAAGTTAAAAGAAGTTAAATAACACTTAATGGGAAATTCAGCACTTTCTACTTATGTATAATTTCATTTTCCTGATTCCTCACTCCACTTTCAACTTTTAGCTATTCTTGCTATTCACCTCCAAAAATCTAAGTAATAGGCCTATCCTGTGAATTCTGGACTTTTCCATCTTAGAAATGATGTACTCACTTATTACTATGCTATGGAATAGAAGAATAAACTACTCTCTCCATCATTCCGGTATAGTCACATAATAATTTTTGGAAAAATTGGTGTTTTTGCATTTACCTTGTTATTTATATTTATAAATACAGACCACAGCTGGATCATGCAGTATACTATCGCTCCCCTTTATTTCTGTGCAATCTTTTCTTCCCCTGGAGTTAATAATCACTAAGTTTTTACATTTGCTTCTTTTTCTTTGTGTCTGCTGCTATCAAATCCCCCAACACCTCCTCTAGTGGTGTTGTCTAAATAAATAAATAAATAAAAAATAATAAATATAAATAAATAAATAAATAAATAAATAAAAAATAAATAAAAAATAATAATAAAAAATAAATAAATAAAGTCTCAATACAGTCAATCATATCAGGTTCAGATCCCCTGCTTTCTTGGGACATTGTCCTCCTGATGGCACCTAACAATATGATAGATACATTTATAGATGGCTGGTCTGGTTAAAAGAAACCTATCTTCTACAACAAGAAGTTACTAAGGTTTTTCTTGACTGTTTGGAAAAAAAATGCAAAAACGGTCATTCAAAAGCAATGGGAATATTAGTTCATGTTAAGACATACATTACCTGCAAGATCATGACCTGCAAAGGGATAGAAGGTCTTCAAATTGTTGAGCACTAACTGCACCATTGCCAAGCGCATCAATGACCAACTAAAAATAAAACAACAGTAGATCTGTTAAAGATTTACTCAGGGTTTTAGAAGAGTACACCACTCTTTAATCCAACAGTTTTACTATCAAGAATCTACTCTGCAGATATGCTTCCAGAAAAATAGAACAATATGCAGTTACTCATGTCAGCTTTACCTGTAAGAGCAAAAGAGCAGAAACAACCAATTATCTGCCAGGAGAGTACTGGTGGAAACACTTCGGTTTTGAACCACAGAATAATAAGGAAGCCATAAAAAAAGAATGTATAAGAATTCTGAAGTGTTAGTACGAAGTGAACTCCCGTATGTATTAATAAATAATCAAATCATAGAACACTATATATACTATGCCCCTGGTACCTCCCATGTAAAAAAGCAGAGAAATAAGGTTTCAAACACCTACAAATACGCTTATTTTGCAAAGAGAAGGATAAAAACAGGAACTAATAAAAATGGGTATATGTAGAGGGTGTAGAAAATAGGTGAAGACAGAAATGTGAGACTTCCAATTTCACATTTTTCTATAGTTTTTTTAATTAAAAAAGAAATTTCAACTTTTCTTTTAAAGTGAAAATTTATTTCTTAGAGTACTGGCTTTTTATTACTTTAAATTGTATATATAGAGTTAACCGTCTTAACTATTTTTAAGTGTACATTTCAGTGGCATTAAGTATATTCAACCATCACCACCATCTAATTCTAGAATTCTTATCTTGCAAAACTGGAACTATCCCCATTTATAATAATAATATTATTATAATATTATTATAATATTCCCCATTTCCCCTTCTCCTAGTCCCTGGCTACCAATATTCTTCCTTCTGTCTCTATGAATTTGACTACAGTAAACAACCTATATGTGGACTTATACGCCACTGTCATGGTATTATTTGTCTATTTGGGACTAGCTACTTCACTTAGCATAATATCCTCAAGATTCATGCACATTGTAACATTTGTCAGAATTTCCATCCTTTTTTAGGTTGAATACTATTCCATTACATGAATATACCACATTTTGTTTATGTATTCATCTGTCAACAGACACTTGGTGCTTTTATCCCTTGGCTATTGTGAATAATGCTGTTATGAACATGGTTTCTACGAATACCGACCCCATTTTTTTTAGCATATGTGCTCCTGATGTGAGCATGGTTTGTACAAATACCTGATCAAGACTCTGCTTTTAATTCTTTCAGGTATATATTCAGAAGTGAAATTGTTAGGTTATATGGTAATTCTCTTTTTAATTTCCTAACTACCATAATGTTTTCCATACTGGCTGGACCATTTCACATTCCCCCCACTAGTGCACAAGGGTTCCAATTTCTCCACATTCTCACCAACACTGTTATTTTCTGTTTTTTGGATACTAGTCATACTAAGGGGTGTGATGTAATCTCCCATGGTGGTTTCAATTTGCATTTCCCTAATGATTAATGGTAGCATCTTTTCTTGTACTTATTGGCCATTTGTATATCTTCTTTTCAAGTCATTTGTCTGCTTTTTTAATTGGGTTGCTTGGTTTCATTGTTATTAAGTTACAGAGTCTGAATGACTTTTGAGACACGTAAGTATTTCATATATTAAAAAAACAAAATTAGGTCAAGTAAAAATCTTGTAATAATTCTTCTTTTCAATAAAGGAGTATTTTTATTTCATTTTCACTAATACACTACTTATCTCTTGTGGTATATTTCTATTTTTCTATCATACCATTAACATACAATGTTTTATAAAGTGTATACACCTTTCAGAGATATACAATCTATCAAAAGGGACAAGATAATATCCTCTTACACATATATGTAAGGATAAAGCAGCAATGGAGCTGAGGGTGAACATTTTGAACATTCATAATTTTTATAATATGTGCAACCCATTTTTAAGACAGTAATCGTTGGTATCTTAGGGTATTAGTATTATACTGAAAAGATGCCATGTTTTCTAGGCTAAAACAGTAGAGTTTGTTGATCTCAGGGAAGCAAAGAGCAAGGAAAAGTCTGACAGCATTTGTGAGGACAGATTCACGGATAATAAAAAACTAACTGTGTAATTATTCTTAAAGAAAGGAATTTAACAATTTCATCTAAAGAAATCTGAGTTATAATGTGTGATGTAATTCAACAAGCTATCAATTTCAAATGTGTTATTTTCAAAAATATTATGTATATAAGCCAAGATGAATTTTTAAAAAGAAGCTTAAAATTAAATACTCCATACCTATATGAATTTGAATTAGAATGTTCTTGGAGATGGAAATCTGAGGCTAAAACATCATCATCATCGTCATCACTTTCCAGACTTTCCTCTGAATCATATTCTGCTCTACTTTGGGAAGGGGGTAGAAAAGGCTAAAATAAAAAAGGTACAGATTCAACTCTGCAATTTAAAACATTCAATTATATAGAGCATAATATTAGCAATTTATCCCATTTTTCAGATACGTCAATGTAAAAAAGTAAAGTAACCAGTACTCGGCTGCTTCTTTTTTGACATTCTATGCCTTCAACCTCACTTTACACAATTCTCTTATTAATTCAGACATTCAACAAAAAAATGTATCAAATATCAATGTGTCAAAAAGTATACTTGCCATAAGAATTTTTTTCTTTCAAGTAGGTTCCATGCCCAGTCTGGAGCCCAACATGGGGCTTGAACTCACAATCTTGAGATCAAGACCTAAGCTCAAGAGTCAGATTTTAACCATCTGGGTGGCACCCTTGCTATAAGGATTTTTTTAAAGACTTAAACAGTCACTGCACTCAGAGAGCTTACCTTTTTATGGAAGAAAACAGACAAATAACAGAAAACTAAATACAAACTATTTAGTTGTGCCATACAGAAAAAAAGACAGATGGGATTGAGAACATTAACAAGAAACTGACATAACGTGATCATGAAAGGTCTCTTAATAAAGCAGCATTAAGTGAGACTGAAAGGACAAGAAGTAAGCCATAGAACGAGAGGGAAGAAAAGCATTTTAGGCAGTGGAAATTGCAGGTAGAAAGGCATTAATATGGGAAAGAGCTTGGTGTGGAAAGTAAGCGGTTTGACTGGAGCCCATAAGCAGGAGGATATGTGTTGGGATGAACACTGAAGACAATGGAAGGAGACAGGTGGGGAGGGTTTTTGTAGGTCACAGTAAAGAGGGTAATGGAATGCCACTGGTGAGTTTTAAGTAGAGGGCAGGCATTGAGATTTACATCTTAAGAATATGACTATGCCCACTCTCTTATGAGAGAAAAACTCAAATGGTAAGACTAGAAATGGAGACATGAGTAACTAAGTAAGGCAAGAGTTGACTGGTGAAACAGCTCTAGAAACACAAAGATGGATGGAAAGCCAGATGGACACAGTAGTGCTCCAGCAAGGCTTAACTTTAAATGGAATTGATTTTTCTCTTCCTCATTCTTGAAGCCTACTCCCACCTCTGCCTTGACTTGTTTTTCTATATAATCCTTTGTTCTAGGAATTCAGTATCAATGTGGACATCTCCCCGACCTCAAAGTATACTTAGTCAAGAGACTCGGATGGCTGGCACCTGCACTAGTCAGATACCACCTTGAAGACATGATGAACAGAGCTGGTAGCTCATACCAGATTCCTATCTAAACTGCCCAGATCCTTTATTTTCCTCTAAAATTTCCATAGCCTTTTATCCCAGGTAGGTCTGTAGTTTTGAAAGCAATGCCAGCTACAGCCTCCTTCGCCTGGCAAAGCAATAAGACTATCATTCTTCTTTTCTTTATCCCCAAACTCTGTCATCATGTTATATTTTGGCTCCAGAGCACAGAGATTGGTTTCCAACAACATGGAGGTATGTGTTAGTGATGAAGATGGAGAGAAATAACACACTAACTGTATATTTTGGAAAAGCACTGACAGATAGGCTGATAAGTATGGAGAGCAAAGGACAGAGAGGAAAAAGACTATTTCTAGGTTTCTGACTCAAGCAACTATTAGAATGAAGATGCCGTTTACTAGTAGGAGAGAATGGTGGTTATAAAAGGGAGGTGTTGGACAAAAGAAATATAAAAAACCCAAATGTTGAAAGAGATCAAGATTCACAGGTCAAGCTGAAAAGGAAGAATGAAGAAAGGACTATGGAAGAATAAATAGTAAGGTTAGGGGAAAAAAACTAGAAGAGAATGACATCAAGGAGGAAATGGCTGCATGTGTTGAATATTGCTAAGAGTTCAAATGAGATGATGATAAAGAAGTTTCAGTTATATGTAACAACATGGATGCCCCCTGAATCTCAACAGCAGCTTCAATGAGGTAGCTGTGTCAGAAGTCATACAGTGCACAACTATGAAAGGGAACCAAGATAACAGAAAAAAAAAATGTGTGTATAGTTTTAAAAAGCTGAATGATAACAGGAAATAGAGAAACAGAGTACTAGCTAGAAAAAGTTCTGCAATCAAAGCAGGATTTGGAATGAGAGACAGTAGAGCACACTTCTGTCCTGATGGGAAGCAATCAATAGAGATGAGTCAAAAGTAGAGAAGAAAAGCACAGATGGGATTCAGAACAGAACAGAAGTCTCTGATAGGAAGGACTCTTTGTCCTTATTAACAGGAGGAATGAATAAGATGGGAACAAGCGTAGTTATAGCTTCATGACAGGATGGTAAGAGTTTTAATGCCTTTCAACTTAGGAGTTAAGAGCTAAGATGGAAAAGGTAATACAGGAAATCTGAAGTTATAAAATCTTTGGTGTAGGGAAGACCAGTAAAGGCACACAGCAGGGATAGGAGAAATTCTGAAAGAGCTGAGAGAGAAGCTCCTAAGTCCTCTCACCAGAAACAACAGTAAAACTGCACAATGTTGTAAAAAAGACCCACTTAAAGATACTGGATCAATTGATCAATGCATACAACACAGAGAGAAGCATTTATTCAAGAGAAATCAACTGGACTCTCTGGAGAAACAGTGAGAGCCTGGCATTTTGGTCATTTTGGTTGGGCTGCCGCTTACCCCACCTGGCCACTCTGTGCTGCAGGGCAGTCCATGAACGCCAAGAACTCTGCTGCATGGCCAGAGGTGGCTATCTTGAATAAAAATCCCAGGTCCAGGGGCACCTTCAAAAGCAACAGCTATCTCAGTACCAAACGACTAGGAAAGGCTAACCTCTCAACTAGCCTGAGGCTATGGTATGAACTGGGACAGGGACAGACCAGCCAGAAATTTAACAAGATCCAGGAACAAAAGAGCTAAAGAAGGCCTTCCTCATCATGGATCCTCTATCAATTAAAACTGCTTCAAAAATGAAGATGACATCAAGATATTCCCATATCAATAAGGGGCTCAATACACATTTGTTGAATAAATGAATGACTCTGCAAAGGGCAATGAAGAACAAGGAGAGACAAATACCTGTCTTTACCCCAAGAAAAATATAAGAAAAATAAAAGCTACTGCTTAACATGCCTAAAGGATTGTTGTCAGCAGAAAATAGTTAGGTATTCAAGTAATAGAAGAAAATAAGAAGAACATCCAGAAGTTGAGAACACGAGGGATGCGGCTAATCACAGGAAAGGCAGATAGGCCATTTCTGCTCTGCACAATGGCACGGGAACATGGAAACGACCATGCAAGCTGAAACCATTGTGAAGCAATCTTAATAAACAAAGGAAAAACTACAAATATTCTGAGACTAGCAAAAACATTTTTCAAAATATTAAAACTCTTATGGTTGGCAATCAATGTATAGGGAAATGAAAAAATAGTAAAAATAGTATTTATTTAGCACACTAAAATTAAAATACTAGAAATATTGAGAATTTAAGTGTTTTATTCATTTCTTCTTTTTCTTGAAGATTTTTATTTATTTATTTGAGAGAAAGAGAAAACAAGTGAGAGGCAGACGGAGAAGCAGTCTCCCCGCTGAGCAGGGAGCCCTATATAGGACTTGATCCCAGGACCCTGAGACATGACCTGAGCCGAAGGCAGATGCTTAACTGACTGAGCCACTCAGGCGCCCCATCAAGTGTTTTACTTCTTTGTAAATAAATTATCAAGAGTACTTTGAGTGGGCAAACTGTCATACATGTTTCTAAGTTTGTATCATCTTCCAACATTTTATTCTTTACACTTTCAGTGCTATGAAATATTAGCCAGAGTTCTTTTAATGTAAAGTGGGTCTTTTTTTCGGGGGGGGGGCAATTTCAGTATGTCTAGAACACCTTCCTCGTTGTATGACACTTTCTTCGCTTCTGTTGACAAGTTAGCCCTCACTAGTCCTCTGGTTGCATATCCAGAATCTTTCAAACGACAGCAGTGTCAGTAGCCCCAATGTGATCTATCTTTCTATAACTTTGTTTACATTTAACTTTTTTTTTTTTTTTTGGTAGAAACCATCTTTCATTTTTTAATTTAAATCCTATTAGCCAACATACTGCTTACATTCAATCTGAATGTCACTTCCAGGGCTACCACTTGTCATTGTTTGGTTGCACTTCCATCTTCACGGGACAATTCCCTCTTCTGATTATCCAGTTTTGTAAAATGTCACTTGAGTTGGACACTGCTGTCTGTATATAAACTGAGTAACGGGTCCTAAATGATGAACCACCAATAGACTTCCTGTGACTGATCACTGCACACGAGGTGCACCTGCTCTTTCCATAGTGATGTGTGGACAGAAGAGCCAGCAGGGAAGTTTGTATTTGAGGTCACTGCTCACAGTTAATAGACTAGAAACTCTGAGCCATGTTGCTGAGGGACTCGTTACTTCACTAAATAGCAGTAACTATAACATGTGTATATGAGAACCATGCAGGAGCATCTGCAGTACAGAAAAGGAACGAGAGCAGCAATGGCCCTGGGACTTCTTGTAGTCTGGATTCCTTAATTACCATCAAGTACCTTAGCACTAAGGTGTTGACCAACATATCTTTTTTCATCTAAGAACTGTATTTTGCTTAAAATATAGAAACTATAATTTATCAAAGGACTGTGTCAAAAACCAAATGGAAATGTCCAAATATTTTTGAGGGTTTTTTGTTTTGTTTTGTTATGCAGCCTGACAAAATGAAATCTTTCTAAACCAGAGTGGGAAAACACTTGGAAGCAGCAACAATCCACTTACTTCAAACATTTTCATTTCCATTTCATTGCATACATGTTGTTCTAAGTGGCACTTTTTTTTACCTTGGCTATGAAATAGTCCCAGATACTGAGCTCTGGTGGGATGAACTTCTCTTGGACTGTCAGTGACTCCTGGCTGACTACTGACGGGGAAGAAGTCGGTAGGGCAGATTCTCTACAAGAAATTTTTGATGGCCTAAAACGTTTGTTCTGTTTCTCTCCTTCTTCCACAAGTGAAGAAACTAATAAAAACAAAATAAAGTATTATTAAAGTAAGTACTTTTTCCACTGTACTAATTTCACGTATCTTTATTTAAGATTTAAGGTTACAAATAAGCATAAACACAAAACTGAGATCCTTACAATAGGTTAAAAAAAATAAGTAGAAGTGAGACAAAAATCACTGTAAAACCAATCTTTGCTTTTATCTCAACTTATCCCTCATTCTCTGAATGTTAACTTTTCTATTCCATATGTGGGTAATAGGATATAATATCTGTCTATAAATGAGTCAAATTGAGCTATGATCATGTACGAAAATTATCTACATCCCTTTACTTTGAAGAATATCATGGGAAACAAAGAGTATCATGGGATGTCAATGTTAATTGAAGGCACCAACTTACTTATGAGGTTCTTTAGTAATCCTTTGGCCTTTTATCTACATAGAAAACTGAATGTTTTCTCTGAAAATATATAAAAGAATTCAAATATGTTAACAACTGAATTACACTGACTCAGACTTCCGGAAATGGCTTGCACATGGAATTTTCTGGTCAGTGGAATAACAGAGAGGGAGAAAACACAATCTTTGTTGTTTTAACTTTTAAATACTTAATGGTTAGTATTTTCTTAGTATTTTACTTTAGAGTATTAAGGGAAAGAAAAACAAGTTACACAAATCTATAAATAACAAATACTAAGTTACAAGATGCAAATCACCAGTACAGAACCAAGGATGTTCCAAAGAGAAGCATATGTCCAATTGACAAGCAAATAACTCTGCAATAAGACACACCAATATACTCTTTCAATGGTTCCAGTGAGAACTGACTTACCTTTCAAAGGAATGCAAATATGTGTTCTGTAATATAATTTCGTTTTATTCTTTGAAGCTACTCAGCTTGCAAAAACAGCATGCTCATGCATTATATCAAGCTACAGCCAAGCTGAGTTTAACAGACTGATTTAGTGATTTTTAGTGATTTCAGAAAAAAAGGAAATTAAAATGGAAAAAATTCTAAAAGATTGCCAAGATGTGGTATGATATTACATAAACTCTCAAATGATTTTAAAAATAAACTTTTGGATTAAATGTGTAAATTTCTGCTTTTTTAAAAAGATTTCTTTGTTTGAGAGAGAGAAAGAGAGAGGATGCGCACGAGTAGGAGGAGAGGCGGGGGAGAGGGAGCAGCAGACTCCATGCTGCGTGGGAGTCTGATGTGAGGCTGATCTCAACACCCTGAAAACATGACCTGAGCCGAAACCAAGAGTCAGATGCTTAACTAACTGAGCCACTCAGGTGCCCCAATTATTTTCCTGTTTTTAAAAGCAACTGGTAGTCAACAATCATGTTTCTAATATACGTTGTATACATTCATATTCATTCTAAAACAGTGGTTATACCAAATTCTGATCAAATAAAAAATATATAACATAAATGTATTTTTTTAATCTTTCAAAAATATGTGGTTTAAAAAAAATGTGGTTTAAAATAATCATTTAACTTTAACATTACTATTTTGCTTTTTTTGTTTTTAGATTAGAAGGCTTATGAACATAGAAACTTAAAGAATCTCTGGAAAAATAAAACTTACAAACAACACTAAATAGATAAATTTTTGCCAATACATCTATATGATAAAAAATCAGAGTTTTAAAACCAAAACCTAAGAAGATTTTTAAATTAAAAAAGAGAAAAATTTACAAGTATAGTCAATGAAACCAGATACTGACATGAAAATAAGAAAAGTTACCACACTGGGGGTAAATGTTTAAAATGACAGAGTCAATATCAGAAATATAAAACTACCTATTAAAATACTTTTGATGAACAAAGAAAAAAATGGCAAAAAGTTCACAGTACTGAATGTTCTATTGCTTGAAATGCTATAAATAAAAGGACCCAAGTGATGCCTTCCAGCAAACAAGAAATAACCTGTAGCTTCTCATTAGCATAGTTGCTTCTTCTTTTCCAATAAATTACAGCAAGACTTAAAATGATTTTATGTTTAAATCACAGTGGGTTAGCATAGTCATGAAGGACCAATAGAGACTGCAGAGTGGCTGAAGGCTCAACTGGTGATTTTTGAAAATGCTAATAATTAAATATCAAGAATCTCTGTCACTCCTTGGATAAAAACTGACTCTACTGCTGCATTACTAAGGTGGTAAATGGCTACTTCACTAGTAATAGAAGAAAAAAACAGTATTAGGGAGAACTGAAAAGAAACTTGGATATGGAGCTTAGAAATTACAAGGAACAAAGAGAAGCTAGAAAGTTGGTTAAAAAAAACCCAACGTACAATGGATAAGAAAAGACAGAATCACTCACTAACATACATTTTTAGAAATTTCTTAGCTGCTTTGGATTCATAGAAAGTACTTTTAAGAAGTACTTTTAAAGTCAAGATAGTACTTTTAAAGTCAAGATTTTAAGAACCTCTATCCTCACTCCTAGTACAATCCGCAGTGACTTCCTGGAACTATGGATGTGACTCCCTAAGAACACAAAACAAGGGCACCTGGGTGGCTCAGTGGGTTAAAGCCTCTGCCTTCGGCTCAGGTCATGATCTCAGGGTCCTGGGATCGAGCCCTGCATCGGGCTCTCTGCTCAGCAGGGAGCCTGCCTCCTCCTCTCTCTGCCTGTCTCTCTGCCTAATTGTGATCTCTGTCTGTCAAATAAATAAATAAAATCTTAAAAAAAAAAGAACGCAAAACAAAATAGAGAGATGGTTAAGAGACTACATTTAAAGAATGGGCAGAGGAGTAAGAAAGACAGTGTTGCTTTTTAATCATAAATTCTTCTGGACTACTGGATTTATTATCACGCACATATATTGTTTTGATTAAAATCAAAACATAAGAGGAAGGCTCACAAGTTAACACTTTTTGAGTTTATCATTTTATTTTCTTAAAAGAATTTATTTGAGAGCACGAGTGAGCATGAGTGGGGGGGTTGGGGAGGCAGAGGGAGAGGGAGAAGAAGACTCTTGGCTGAGTGAGGGGTCCAACAGGGGGCTTAATCCTGAGATCATAACCTGAGCTGAAGGCAGGAGCTTAACCAACTGAGACAAGCAGGTGCCCCAAGTTTATCATTTTAAATCAGACAAAATTAATGTTCTAAACCTAGACTTAAATATTTATTTTAAAAAGTGACCTTAAAGTAACCAGCAGAATGATCTCATTCTCTGCTTATCAATCTAAGGCACTCTTCATGCCAGAGAGTGCATGAAAAAGCAGGGGGCGCATTGTCCTGGACCTTCAAGTATAGCTCCAAAATTTAGGGGGTGGGAGGATGAAGGTAAGTAATTTAAATGATGATTTAAATACTGGAAAGAAACAAAGATATGGAGAAGATGAAAGTCACGTAAGTTCAAGATAAAACAGATCCCCATCTATTTCTTGCTTTTGGCAAGACAGTTAAGCATAAGAGATCTCCTAAGAGGAGATCTTCACTCTCCTCTAGCATCCATTTCAGACAAAAAGTTTGAGAAGTACAAATACAGGCCAACACTTTATTTAACCAATTAAATAAAAAACAAATTCTCAAAATTCTATGTAAAACATGACTTTACAAGTAAACTTCAAAGATTCTTAAAAGGAAAATACCAAAATAGATTTGAGGAGCATAAATTTAAGGCACTTCTTAATCCTCAAAGAATAAAATTAAGGCTACAAAAATGTCTGACAAGTGAAATTTTCCAGATTTTAGTTAAGATTGACTCTCAAGGATTGGTAAGGCACAGTAGTACCTTGTACCTGCTTCATAAGTACCTATAAAAATGAAATGATGATTATCTTAGTAGAAAGTAGTGATTTGTCTCCAAATCACAGAGCAAGTAGTTTCCAAAACAGTTGGTGTTCAAAGTGATACACTGGAATATGGAAAGAAAATATTACAACTATTACTGAGATTTATTTTTTAATAAGCAGAAGTGGGGAAAAGGAAGAGAAACAGGGTAAGAAGGGGAGAAGGGAAAGAAGAGAGGAGGAGAGGAGGAGTGGAAGAGAAGGCAACAGAGGAAGGAAAAAGAAAGGGGGGTGGGAGAAGGGGAGCAGAAAGGAGAGGGAAGTGGTAAGGGGAAGAAGAAAATCTATCAGTGTTTAATATCTGGATCAGCAGGGGTACATGTATTTATAAATAAATAAATACACACATAATGAGGATTTGCTCAAGCATATTTTGTAGATAGGGTTATATAATAAAAAATCTGGAGATAACTACTTCTCCATTACCCTGAAGACTACGATCCAGATGTGCCTATAAGATTTCAGCTCCAGCTCAAAAGACTTGTTAAAAGTGAGAAAGGAATACATACATACAGTGAAATACTATTCAGCTGCACAAAGAAAACTCTATCATGTGCCACAACATGGATGAACCTCGAGGACACTGTGCTACATGAAATAAACCTGTCACAAAGGGACAAATATGGTAGTTATGAAATGAATAGATGCTTTTTAATGAAAATTTATGCCTGTCCCTCAAAAAAAAGTTTGTCCAAAGACTCTAACAAAAGATGTATTCCCTTCTCTGGCAAAACTAGTTATTTTTTGGTTCAGTAGCCAGTTAAAATTGCTGGGCATATTCACATCTGTATTGTAAATAGCCGATCACTTTCTATTTTAAAAACACTGAAGTCTTATACTTTTTCTGGTCAAGAAATGTTGCTATTTTATATATTTTGCTAAAGGAAGGATAGCAATGACACGTATAATCACTAAACACTGAACATGAAACTTTTATTTTATACGAGTTTTAGGGGAAAAGCAAGACATTTGGATTTTCTGGTCTGTATTTAACATAAATAATCAAATGGCAAAAATATACTTTAAAATGTCTAAAACATCATTAGCAGTCTCATAGTTAAAAAAAAGTTATGCTTACTACAAATAAAATACTCACTTTATATTTTATTCCTCAATGTGGAGACATACAAAATCATTACTATAAATTTATCAAGATGAAGATGGAAAATCTACAGTTCTCATTATTGCAAATATCATGACAAAATACAATAAAAATCCTTCAAGTAAAAACACTGCTTTGCTTTATAATATGCAATCAAAAGCAAAGTATGGATTTCTAACTGTTAGCAGAAAAAAAAACTCATTTTTCCAAACTTGCTATTGTTCACCTGATTATTTATTTTAAAAATTAACCATAATAACAAAACAATTACTAATTCCACAAACTTACACCTGCACTAATTTTAGTTAGAAAAAATAAATCCTTCACTAATATGTGATGTGGAATTCACCCAGTTAAATCTGATTTAAAAAAAAACCAAATTACTGACTAAATTCACATTTTTGTTAAGAATTCTAACCTGCCAAACTGAAATCTAATAGAAATCATCTATCATTTTCTTACATTACAAAGCTTAGTCAATATTTAAATTTTGTCACTAAAAATATTAGTGGATTAAGTATATAAAAGATATGTAGAGAGAAATATAATTTAGGTGATGATAATGCTGTACAATATGTTGGCTAAGTGAATTTAAGTAAATAAAAAAAGAAAAAAAGAAAATAATTTAGTTCATGAGACCATCATTGTGAAGAAAACTGAAATCAGAATTTACACTAGAACAAGAAAAACAAACGGTGACTTTTAATACGTCTTCTAGTACTAAGTTACATGTGAATGATGTATGAATGATTCCGTAGCTTCTGGGTCTTCAAAGACAGATGAGCAACACATAACCTGGATGCGGACTTAACACTAAGGGAACCACATGTTTTAAGTATTCTGCATTACTTGCCACCAAAGAATTAAATGTACAGATGCAGGTAATTTCCAGTCACTTTCACTAGGTAGGGTTCAGTAAGTGATGGAATACAGTTTATAGATAGTACCTATAAGATAATTTTTGTAAAGGTATTTGTGTGTAGAAACAACTAAAACTGAGTGGTTCAACAAAGAACTTAAGACTCTGAGTAAGGTTCTTTACACATTTATGCTTGGTTGAAATGGTTGGAATTGAGACATGGTGACTGGTTAGTAAGAATATTTTTAATTTTTTACAAGTATTTGGACATTCCATAGCAAGAATTTATCCCTTTTTAATATTTTGTATTAAGGAGATCAAAGTTTTAAATGATTTTCTCTTAGGACACATTAAAAACGGGTCCACAATTAGTTTACCAAGTTTTTAATGCTAATCTCATTAGACCTATAAATCTTATTCCCTCTTAGACTTAGACTTTTCTTTAATTGAATTCAGATATCTGAAGTTAAATATATATATATATATATATATATATATATATATATTCCAAAGCAAACTTTATGAAGTTTAGACTTTTTCTTTTTTTGTCCACATAAAAAATAACGCACAGGAAATTACTCCTTAAAAATGAAGAGATGTCATAAAAATGAAAATATTTTTAAAAATTTGAAAACTAAGATTATCACATATGGGCTAATAAATTATAAAACAAAAATTTAACAGCTAGGTAGAAAGCATTATGAAGATCCTTTTCACATCAAGATATAATATATACAGTTTCAGCATTAGAAAGTCTAGAAACAGGGAGGGATACAGTTGTTTAAAATATTTACTTTTCCTGGTATTATGAACACTTAGAAATCCAAAACCCCTAATGGCCAGAATCATAGTATGCAAAACATAAAGCAGCTTCATTTGAAATGTTTTCCAGACATTTCAAGCCATAGTCTGATTTACCATGATTAGCATTGACATTTATTCCTACACATTTAAAAAGATGTTGAAGTCTAAGGAATAGAAAACATCAAAGGAAATAATTTAAAAGCAGAATAAAAAGCAGAGATGATTTTCTGAAATGCTAATCATTGTTTCATATCAAAAATATGGCTTGATTAAAGGAAATTTCTCAATTTTCTATTTTAAGTGCCATACAAAATAAAATGGGCCCAAAGTACCCCAACCCCTCCAAAACAACACAAAGCAAGCTGAGCCATAAAAGCCTATTTCTAAAGCTAGTATCTTGCCTGCAAGACTGGGAGGGCTATGAGAACTGATGGTTGAAAGAGCTTTGGTAAAGCCCACACATTCCATGGAGAATACCACTACCTGGTGGGGGCTAGGCATAGCAAAGTGCCTTCCTGCCAAAGAAAGAAGAGAGAATCTGTATTTGGGATAGAACAAAGACCAGTGTTACAGAATATTTCAAAAGCAAATGATCATTTCAAAAGCAAAAGATTTAAGAAAATTACATTAGATACTTCTAATTGCAGGTGCACAAGTGTCTCACAGTTTGAAAACTGCACCAGAAACTTGACACTGTATTTTCACCATAAAACCATTTGTTCATGCTTTAAGAAAACGGTCTGTAACAAAAACTTTCTGTGAATTAATTAAAATGTAATTACACTTGACAAAGTTATCATTCGGATGAACAAATATAGTTTCAGTTTTAAAAATAAATAAACACGAATACACTAACCAGGTAAAGCTTTTGAGTGTGTGTGTTCTTTGTTAGGAACATGTGCACCTCCACCAAACACAGCAGACCACATTTTTTCATTCAGAGGATGGGCCATGATCCGAAATAGTTCATTACTGGAATGTGTCGCCAGGCCATGGATGAAGAGACTCAGATACACTGCTGTGAGAATCTCACAGAGCAAGACTGTAAGCCCTGACTGGGCTTCCTCGCCAGAAGAATTCAAAAGTCGAATCAGAGAAGTGATTCCTAGAACAAACAAACACAGCTACCACTGACAATAAATTTTAAAAAGAACTGTATCTTTTAATTTTTGAAAAAACTGTCTTATATCAGGATTGAAGTTTTTTCTTCTCTAGATTCACAGACTAGTAGAAGTTATTACAGTTAATGCACAAATTTGTTCAATTTAGAGAAACAATGAAAATCTACATCTAATACAAATCTGATAGATAAAATTTAATTCCCACCACAAATGTCATTCTATCAAACATCTATCATGACAAAAAAAATTATAACAAGTGATATAACAAAACACTTGAGTTATTTTAGTAAAACTGTCAGGGAAATACCAATGTTAGAAAGGAAAAAAAAAGACCAATGTTAAGTAACTGCGAAATTTACCATGAGTGCTAAATACTGAAGTGGTATCAATTCTAACAATATTTAACACTGATTATCATGCAGCAAAACCATACCAAATGTACTTTGTCCTCATTTGATTAAATTTAGGCTAAGAAAAAACTCATATATATTTATTTACATACATATATACATAAATTATTTATACCTGGCCATTGTGCTGGTGATGTATTTGGAGTTATTGCTTCATCTAAGCTTCCTGTTTTCAAAGAATGTCGATGGGGAAGCAGTACTGTCTGATACATCATTCCAGTAAACTGATTTGTTTGAAATGAACTAAGAAAACAGAACATTTAAATAAGAACAATCTGTAATAATATAAGACAAAAATAATACAAATGTAATGATCTAAAATGAAACATGTAATATTTCCATGTTTTAGATCTAACTTCTAGAGTATCTTAAAATTCAAATTTTATTAGTTATACTGCTATTACGATCCAAGCACTGTTCTCTATAGTCTGGTGCTATATTAAAATCAAGTATCCTTTAAGTGTAAACATGTAAATTTTCTAAATTAAAATACAAGTGATAGGTTTTTAAGTATATTTATTTAATGAAAGATAAAAAATACATACAAATGAGAAAACTAAATCACTCATGACCACAAAAAGCAAGCTATTCTATGAAAGTTCAAAACAAGGTTATCTGGTTGAAAACAAAGTCAGTTTAGGTTAAGTTTGATATTTAATGGCTGTCAGTGCTACATTAGGTTAGGTTACATCAGGTATATGCACAAGGTACCAGGGATATAACGAAAAGTGTGGTTTCTGTATCCATGAAATTTATAGTCTGGTGGAGGATTGGACACAAATAACTTTATCAGATTGCTTTCTTTCTTTATTTCTTTGAGAGAGAGTGAGCAAGTGAGCAGAGGAAAAGGGTGCAGAGGGAGAGGAAGAGAGAGAATCCCAAGGAGACTACACAACCAGCAAAGAGCCTGAAGTGGGGCTTGATCCCATGACCCAGAGATAATGACCTGAGATGAAATCAAGAGTCAGGTGCCCCTATCATATTGCTTTTAGAGAACAAACCTATGCATACAGGGTTATGAAAGCAAAAGGTGAGGAGCACTTTACATAATTTGGGAATTCAGGGTAAGCTTCTCCAAGTAAATGGCACTTCATACTAAAATTAAATAAACAGACGAATGAACAAAGTAACTTGCAGCTTGACCTAAAGTATGAAATAAATCTGAAAGAAGATGGTACAAAAATATTTGTTAAATCCTGTCAGAAATTCCTATATCAAATGTGAGTAAATGAATGTCATATTTAAACATAGCGCATCTATTGGTTTAGATCTGTTCTGACTGGCAAGTCTTCTATTAGACATTAAACTTTGATGCATTTGTAAATAGTTTCTCTTACTTTACTTTGCAGTTGAGAAATGGCAGGCTGCCAACAACAAAAAAAATCCCCCCTGCTACAATAAACCTATGGAAATGATGAAAATAAAGCTCCACTCAATAACAAGAAAGTGAACTCTTGGAGGATGAAAGCCAAAGAAATCAAGTTGAAACTACTTTGGGAATACAGAAGCAGATTAGTAAATTGAGACTCCCATGGTAGAATTGAAACACAAACAAGCAAAAATCAACACCAAGGAAGGCTAATATCAGGTAAAAAACAACAAACTCTGTGAATGACCTGTACCTGAGGAAGCAGACTTATCAGAACATGACAGAAGGTGCTTTATACTCAGAGACATTAAAACAATTAATACAGACAGTAAGTTATAAAAATAAAAGTGACCATTAAAATCAACAAGGAGATCTTAAAAATGAAAAACAGAATTTATAAAACACAAACTCAGCCTAAATAAAAGACGAGACATTGCTGAAGAAAGTGTGAGTGTCTGGAAAATGGCATTAGAATTTCTCCTAAAATGAAGCAAAAATAAATAAAGAAAAAAAAATATGAGATGAAAGGTAAAAGGAAAATAAGAGAAACCTGTGAGTTCCAATACCTAATAAGAAATAGGAGACAAAAGACAAAATATTTAAAGAAAAAAAGTCAAGAAACAAAAACAAAGGATCATAGGGGAAAAATAAGAGAGAGGCAAACCAAGAAACAGACTCCTAACTCTAGAGAACACACCGATGGGTCACCAGAGGGGAGGTGGGTGGAGGGAGGGAGGAAATAGGCGACAGGGATTAAGGACGGCACTTGATGAGCACCGGGTGATGTACGGAAATGTTGAATCACTACACTGTATACCTGAAACTAATATTACACTGTATGTTAACTAACTGGAGTTTAAGTAAAAATTTTTTAAAAAGGAATGAGAATTTCAAAGAACTAAAGGAAGATACCAAAGTGTCAAACAGTGTGTTTTAAAAGCCTAGCTAAATTATAGTGAAAACTTGGGCTATAAAGGGAAATATCATAAACATCACTCTTTGATCAAATTTTTCTCAATTTCAAGTCAGTTACTCCTTCCTGTGTGTTCCCTGAACCTTTCCTTATATTATAAATATACAATATAGTACATTGTAATGTTATAGTATATAATTATAACTGTACTATAGTACTTATCACTTAAGTGCAATGTCATGTTATATATATTACTTATCAACTCATACATTTGTTTCTAACTAGATGGACCTCAAGAAAGGAGAACTTATTTCAGGGCATATCACAAGGCCTGGCATTAGGCAGTAATCAATAAAAGTTAACTAGTTACACTGACAAGGGTCTACTTAACATTCACTTGCCACAAAGGCAGAAAAGCTAAAATTCAAAGATGGAGAAATAGTACTCATCATTTCAAATGCTTTTGGTATTATTTAGACTGTCATAAACAGTTTTTCTAGGCAAGAGCATACAAATTCTGAAACCTCATCAGTTATTGCAAACATTCCTAAATTTCACAAAAGATATTTACCTGTAGTTATGACTACCACAAAGGCACTGATAAATACAAGCAGAAAGTGAGGCTGCTAAAGTATGCATTACATATACCTGAAAAAAAAAAAAAACAAAATTAAGTATAACTTTTAAAAAATCAAACTTGTCTCAAGACCTACTATAATCTAGCGATGGAAAAAAGATGGAAAAACTATTTTGTCCTTAAAAACTATTTCTGTTTTTTCCTTAACACTCATGTGTACATATAGAGATCACACTACAAACAAATTAAAAACATGAAGGCCATTGGCAGAAATCATAAAACACACACCTGCTACCTAATTTCTATTTTAAGGATAAATGGGAACAGATGTTAGCTATTCAGTAGTGCATAAGCCATGTATTAAAAGAAACCCCTCTAAGATTCAACCTTCTTCCTCAATGAAAATATGTAAAATCTCGGTCTGATAAATGATAGTTTACCGATGGACAGGTCATTGAAGCATATGCTAACATATATTCTAACTACAAGAGAAAACAAACAATCGAAAGAGAATGTAATTACTTAGAAAAAGAAGAAGGTTTGAAAGACAGCAACTGAAGGGCAAACAGTAGTATTGAGAAAGAGAAGGCTCTAAACACGGCATGACAAGCAATGAGAGAGGCAGATCTGAGAAGCACAACCCAGGTCAGAAAGCAACTAGATTAGACTATTTAAAAGACTAGGTTCTTGATCTAATCATCAAGTATGACAGTCTGATATGTAGATAAAAAAATGGGAGCCGTAGATTAAAACTGAATTGCTATTTCCCCTTCAATTATCAATAAGATGTGTGGTTATGAATTAAAATCAAGAATATCATCATAAAAATGAAGACAGCAAGTCCAAATATGGAAAATTACAAAAATAATCAGAATATTTCCCAGCTTCTCTAATCAAAAAGTGGAGTCTATTTCTCTACTTACTGAATCTGGAATGACCATGGGACTTGCTTTGACCAAGATGGCAAAATGCTATGTAACTTATCAACCTAGTCCTCCAAAAGGCTTGCAAAATGCTATTCTTGCTGATTTTTAAACACCCTGCAACCACTATGTGAAATAACCTAGGCGTGACAGTTAATTTTATGTATCAGCTTAACTGGACCAAGGGGTGCCCAGACATTTGGCCAAACATTCTGGGTGTATCTATAAGGCTGATGTAGGATGCAATTAACATTGGTAGAAGTGGAAGACTGAGTAAGAAAGACTGCCCTCCCTAATGTGGGCAGGCCTCATCCAATCAGTCAAAGACCTAAATAGAACAATAAAGCTGTAAAAAGGGAACTTCTGCCTGGCTGCACTGAGCTGGAACATTGGTGTTTTCCTGTCTCTACGTTAGAACAGAAACACTAGCTCTTCTTAGGTCTCAAGCCTGTTGGCTTTCAGACTAGAACTTATACTCTACTGGCTCTCCTGGTTCTCAGGCCTCTAGACCCAAACTGGAACTACACAATAGGTCCTGGGTCTCCAGCTGGATGACTGCCAATCTTGGGACTTGTCAGCCTCCATAATTATGTGAGCCAACTGCTTATAAAACACAGTTCTATACACACACATAAACACATCATATTGGTTCTGTTTTTCTAGAGAACCTAGGCTGCTTGATCGTCGACTATCAGTCCTGGAAATAGTCTGCCAACCACCAAAAATATAAACATGGCCATCCTAATCCAGAATCCAGCCAGCCTACCAGCTGACCAAAGACAAATGAGAATATCCAGAAGTCAGTCCAGGTGGATGAAATTAGAAGAACTGAGACGCCAACCCACTGAATCATAAGCAAAACAAATGATGGTCATTTGAAGATACTAATGTTTCAGAATGGTTCTTAAACAGCTTTAAAATTGTGCACAATCTGAAGGAAATTTAATTCCTTACTGAATAACATACCATGTGGACACTTATTCTACAGAAGAGTACAGGAAAAGTGACAAAATTAAATGACAAGGGTTAAGGTTATTCAAGAAGATAAAACTGTAGGAGAGGCCACCATTGGGCAAGCAGAATATGAAACAGGTGTGATATCACAGCCTGTGAGGTAGACGAGAACCAAATGACAGACTATTCAAGAAAAAAGAGAGAGAAAAATAGACAAACCTGGTCATACTTGAAAGGATTTCAGTATGTTTTAGAGTAGAGATGAAACATGAAATGTGATATCAATGGTATATAAAGTACAGTGGTGATGGGTGGCAAGATGATGTGGATGATTAGATAACTGTATGATGAGTTATGCATCAGAATCACCTAAGAAACTTCCTAAAAATACATATTCTTGGGACTCATTCTCACACACTGATTCAATAAGTTTGGAGTCAACTTAAGAACGTAAACTTTTTAACAAGCATGTCAGGTGATTCTGCAGTAGCTCATTAATAAAACACTGCCTGCCCTAGAGAAACAAGAGAGGCAAAATACTTCACGTTAATCTTAAAATATATAGTGTTTTAATATTAACAAAGGAAAAGTTTACTTGTATATTAATAATTTTACACCAAAATTATTTCTAAAAGGCAATTTCTAAATCATTTCTAAAAGTTTCTACTTCTAAAAGGCAATCAGCTTTTTGCCTAAGTGTAATACTAGAAGAATTACACATGTATCTGTATACATACCATATACATACCGTATAGATACATGTATCCATATACAAACTCTAAGTTTTCTTTGATCAAAAAATATGTAAGTGGTAATGTAACAATTCCTATGTGCAGTCTGATGTTTAAAACTGTCTCCAAAAAGTGCTGCTTTACATTTTTCCTTTGGTTTTATCATAATAAGTAGCTAAGTTTTAAAGAATGAATCAAGCATACTTACTTTGCTGCTCTGGATGTCGGGATGGGGTGGTGAATCGAAGTTTATGATGGCATGCAGAATATCATGTGTGAGGTTACTGAGGTGCAGTAACGGGTTGGCAACAACTGTCTTGGCACTGGCTGTACAGGCAAAGAGGAGGGGTACTGAGGTCTGCTCTGACAGAGGACTGGGAAATACTGGTTCTGAGGTTTCCTTAAAAACAAAGCGAAAAAAAGGTTAATCAACTGTTTATAGTTTTAATCCATTACTTAACTAATTCAGGGGCCTCTTGGAAAAGTTTTAAAACAATTAAAAACTAAAAGCATGACAGAAACTTTCATAGAGTTATGAGACCTGAGGAGGTCAACATTCCACCAAATATAATGAAAAAAATGAGAGGACAATACCTTCTTATTCTAATGAGAAGCCCATCACCTCACACAGCACTCATAAGAATTCAGAGTATGAATTCACCTGATCAAAGGGCCTGGTGCTGAATGATCCTGAAACTATTACACACAAAACTCTACAAATTCATAATACAATCCACCGTACAAAAAAGAGCATCCCTTAAACAGCCATAGTGAAGAAAACCAAAAATTTTAATATTTAAAAACAAACAGAGCAATACCAAAAACTGTTTCTCCTATGTGTACTACTTTAACTGGCCATTGTCTAAGTTACATACCTGCTGAGATTCTTGTAAAAGCAAAATCAATTCCATTCTCACAGAGGCAAGACCGCCACCATGGGACCCATGAAGTATGCAGTAACTCAGAAACATCCGCAAGAGGGACTGATATTTCAAAAGCCACTGTCTTTTTTCCTGAAAATTTTCTCTTAGTTGTTTCACTTTCGTTTGCTGAAGCACATCTTCAGCATCTCCATTTAATCCAAATTCATCTCCATTTTCACCAAATGCAGTCTCTAAGTCTTCACCATCTGAACAGTAGTCACAAGTCCTCTGAAGAGCTATCACCTCTTTTTCAAGCCAGTGGTAGAGCTGGTAACGCAATTTTCCACCATCTATTTCATACCCAGTAGATAATGTACGAAGTTCCACTGTGAGAATCTTTAAACATGCTCTAAATTTTAATTGAACTGCAATGATATCTTCTGATGGACTTAAAATGTCGTTTTCATCTAGTGTGCTGAGAGATTCTATATAATTAGAACTTGTTTCATCTATTTTTTTCCCCATTTTTCTCTGTAAAGGTTTCAGTTCTTTCATTGAAATAGGGAGATCCTCATCTTCATCGTTATCACTGTCCCATTTTAATTCTAAAGAGTCATCCTGAAATACAACACTCGGTTGGCTCCAGTCAAAAGAAAGAGTGGAGTTTGACTGCTTCTCTGAGGAACCTTCTGAAGAAGATCCAAAACCATTCATTAGTGACTGTGACCAGTCAATAGCAGAAGACTTATCTTCCCTGGCATCCAACTTTAATGGAGAAGAAGGGGAACAGTCTTTACTAGTATCCAGGAAACTAAATGTTCTGCAAAAAGGTTTTGTTTTCTTGATGACTTTTGGCATCTTCGATAATACTTCCAAAGCTAACATAGGGCAGCCAGCTTTCAAATGAGCACTGGCTGTGGTAAAAAATAATCTTCTTTCACTTAAATTAATTGTTCCTGCCAGCCCACTTTTTCCTGTTAAACTCATGTGTGTGGACAATACATCAGATGATCCAAAATGACGTCTTAGCAAAAGAGGATGTGTTCTTAGATAATTGTAAAAATTAAAAACTGCAGGATTACCGGGTGACATCATGACTTGATCTGAAAGAAAATTCATTCTATCAGCTAAGAAAAGTTCAAGACTTGTACCGCAGTCCTTTTTCTGTACCATGGCACTTTTATCTACCTGGTCTTTCGACCACATTTTACTAAGACAACAAACTAATATACAGCAATGAATAGACAAGAACACATTTGTAAAGAAAGTGTTTTCACACGAAGGAAAAACAAAGGTTATACTGATTTCACACCTCTTCAATCAACAATATAAGATTATTTAAAATACCCACTTTCACATTCATAGTTCTTATTATACTTCCCTCAACATTCCTTCCCAGTCTGCTCTGCTAAATCTTCCTCATCCTCTACTTTAGAAAGTTAAGAGTGTCCTAGAGTTCAAGGTTCGACTTCTGTTCTATCTACCCTCCATGAGAGAACTCGAACAGTCCCATGGCTTCTAATATCATTGAGACACCGATGACCTGCCTTAACTATTTCAGGCCCAACTTTACCCTATAAATCTATACTGCTTTATTCACATGCCCAATTTACATTCTATTTCCATGCACACACTCTTGCCTCAAAGCCATTTTATTTAGTGAGTCTTTAGTATAAACAACTCTTGACCCAATTAGCTACACTGACCTTATAACACTCAGGTCTCTGCTCAGAGGTAACCTTACCAGAGAAGTCTTCTCTACCTAAAACAACACTCCCCCACACCAGCTCCTGGTCTTGCCCATATCGTTTATCTCAAGTTAAAAACCTAGAGGAGTTATTAAAATTGACTCTTATACCCTTCACATTCCATATCTAATCCTACCTAGTCTACCTGAGAATTATATTCCAAATCCAACCATTTTTCACTGCCTCTACTCCTGTCATCCTGGTCCAAGTCCCAGTTACCTTTAAAAATTTTCTTCTAGAATACAGATTTAATTGGCTCTGAAAGTATGTGACTGTGTATTTAATTCCAAATCAAAATACATTTTTGACATGAATATGAGTAGGCATAAAAATGTGACAAGAAAATGCGTTTTCTTTCCTTCCTTCATCACACAAAAGCCAGTCTGGAAATCTTCAGCTCAGATGGCCAGGACACTTGAACAGTTAACTGAACATGGCTTTCTCACAAGTCTTTCACAGTAAGACTCATGATACACTTCCCGATTAAATGATGCCATGTAAATAGCCATGAATGAAAATCTTCACCAGTTAGTACTCCAAATGATATGACACTTACGATACCAGCTATCAGAACCAATTCAACTCCACCTATGGCAAAATATTTGAAAAACGCATATCATCATTTTTATATAATTTATACAAAGATTTCTATTTTATACTAACCTCCAAAAAAGCTTCATCAAATGGGATTTCCAAAACAAAAGGCAGAAATAGATCTCAAAATATTAATTCTAAAAAATTCTCTACTACACTCTCATAAAAAATTAACCAGATCACTTAAGTCAGCTTTTACACTGAATATTTTTATTATAAAAATTATAAAACCGATTAGCAAATACACAAACTTTCACCTAAGAAAATCACCCTTACATCATTATTTTCTCCAGAATTAGACTCAAATGTTGATAACATTTATGTTCAATACATTGATTTTATAAAAGCAGAAAATCTTAAGTTCTTGGTTTTCAAAGGATTTTTCTGAAAAAAAGGAATCCTCCTACCTAAAAAACAAAACAAAACAAAACAAGAAACACATACTTAGCTCGAAGTTCCCACCTAAACCTTAAAGTCTTAGTCCATGTTTTCAACTTGCTTTGTATTACCTTTAGCACCCAACAGTGTGCTCTGTACCCAGCAAATGCTAACATAACTTTTTATTATCAACATCTTAGAAATGCAGCTTACCATCATCCTCTCTGACAGGCTGCTTTATTAATGTTTCCAGAGCACCACTATAATCTTCCAAAATCCAATATGCCATACTCCGAAGAAAAGGATCATAATGCATATTTATGTTCAGTGAATTGAGTTCACTGACAGGAGAATCAATCCCCAAAACTTTTTTACGTAAAATAGATTTGTATGTTGCAGAGGTATCAAATTCAGACTCATAGAGTCTAGCTATTACAAGAGCCAACTGAATGTCATTCAGTTTCTCAAGACATACCTTCAAAAAAAGAACTCATGGTCATAAATAAGCAGGGACATCTTTCATTTTAAGATAAACTCAATTGACTAATAACTAGAATGAATAAAAGGCACTGTTATTATCTGAACTAAATGAACAAAGATAGTAACAAATAAAACATATACTGCTTGCTTTAGCAAATCTACCTACTAGTACTAAATACCTACTTGCAAAAAGAATTAGCCTATAAAATTAAATAACCCTCAAGAGATTCAACTCAAATGACATTTTATTTCATTCTCCCCCCCTTTTTTTTAAGAAAGAGAGACAAAGGGGAGAGAAGCAAAGGAAGAAGAAGAGAAAATCCTAAGCAGGCTTCACAGCTTGGAACCCCACTTGGCCTTCAATCTCATGACCCTGAGGATCATGATCTGAGCCGAAATCAAGAGTGGGACGTGCTTTTTTTGAGAGAGAGGGAGAGAGCAACAGAGTACGAGCAGAGAGGAGGGGCAGAGGGAAAGGGAGAAGCAGACTTCCTGCTGAGCAGGGAGCCTGACATGAGGTGGGACTCAAACCCAGGACCCTGGGATTATGACTTGAGCTGAAGGCAGATGCTTAACCAACTAAGCTACCCAAGCTCAATGTCAGTCCTGACATTTTGTTTCTTGAACTTTTACTCCTTCCCATCTGTCTCAGCAGACTATAGGGTTTTCTAATTAAAAAGCTGTTTCGAATCACTTGTATGAAACTCCGAGCAAAAGGGCAATTTGAGGGGTGCCTGGGTGGCTCAATCAAATGGCTGCCTTCAGCTCAGGTCATGATACTGGGGTCCTGGGACTGAGCCCTATGTTGGGCTCCTGCTCAGCAGGGAGTCTGATTCTTCTCCTTCTCCCTCTGCTCCTCCCCTCCACTCCTCTCATGCATGCTCTCAGTCTCTCTCAAATAAATATATTTATATATTTCAAAAAGAGCAATGTGAGATAGGTTATACCTTAAATGTTTTAATTTTTTTAAGGCTTACTGAAAATAATCAGTTAAAAATATGCTAAGGTTCAATCAACTAAGACAGAGCCAAATATAGAGTCACGTATGTTTAAACTGATAGAAAAAACTTTTTTCAACCTGTTCATAAATATTCTTAAAAGTTAGATCAATTACCTCTACCAACCAATACAATGTGGTTAATCTTCATTCTGTATAAGTATCATTCAAGCTAAATGGCAAAATTTTAGAAGTCACTGTTAAATATACTAAGTACTTAGCCTTATGTAATTTCCAATATACTTAAATTGAAATTAAAAAATAAAAATTTGAGCCTACAGAAAAGAGCTTGAAAGGATAATACTTTTTTTAAAAAAGTTTCTTCATTACCTCAACTGCATCTCTGAGGCAACCAGCTAAAAGAAAAAATGCTGCAGAATGTTCAAATCTTTGTTTGCCTAACAAAGAAAAAGCATTCTTTAGAGCTGCTCTACGCCATCTCTCATCCTCAAAATTGTGTCCAAAAAACTGTGTCATCTTGGGGTCTTTTTGGGATCTATAAGGAAAAAGAAAATGTATGAAATTTTGAAACACAATGTTCCCACAATTTTCACCAAAGTTACCCATTTAAATGCTAGGACTCCAAAGAAACACTTGCCAGTGTATCAAGTACTATACATCTGCTTCTTTTCTGAGCAAAAGAGCACTTACAGTAAACATCTACTTCTTCATGTAAATCTCAGACATTACTGAAAACTTTCAAACTATTAAAAAAACTGCTTTAGCAGGACTTTAAGAACTTATGTCTAAATCCATGCAAAATACATAACTTGTATTAACTTGTATTACTTCACCATTTAAACTTCCTCAATCACCTTCACCCTCACTGCCCACCTGATGATGATTGGTAATCAAAACCTAAGGAATCTGTCCTCTCAAAACAATCCTAAAAGTTCAAGCCTCTTAGAAAACTGACTGGTGCCCATGATTTTCCCCCAAAGGTTGCTGTTCATATGGAATCACCTAGAGCTGAATGCAATATACATGGTGAACTATTTTTGGTGATCATGTTTATCAAGTGTTGCTGAGAACTAGTAAAAGAAAAATTCCAAGTGATCCTAGCTCAAGAATGGGGTCAGGTCAGGGACCACTATAGGAGGGTAGTTTGGAGGGATGGCCCAGCCCATAAGCTTATAATAAGGCAGGAGGAGGATGCCTGTTCAAGACTCCACCAATTCATCTTCCCGACTCCAGATGCAAGTTTTTGGTTTAGTTCTTTGTTTTATAGAAGCATCATGGGACATCCTCAAAGTAAACAAAAAAATGTTCTTCTGGACTGATAAACCTGAAAACAAACTAAAGTGATTCTTTTGCTATGAAATAAACCTGGGCTTCTTTCCTATGAATCTCTCCTTAAATACAAAAATAACTAAGAATCTACAAAGAATCACACTTGACAAGAACAACAAATTTTTACTTTTCCTTCATACATTTACTTCTCATGAAGATTTCTCCATTTCGAAGCACAGTTTTCTCACCTACCTGTATAATCCCCAAATCACAGCTTTCTTTCTCATTGCAAGGTAAAAAATGGCAGCATCTAAAGGATCATTCTTTCTATAAAAGGCTGCTTTGGCTACCTACAGTTAGAAAATATTGGTCAGAATTTCACAGAAACAATTTTTAAATAAAGTAATTTCCCTCACATTTAAGACTGGCACACATTATTTAATGTTCAATACATTTAGAAAATATATACACTAATGCATGGATGTATATACACACACAAACACATACGCATACACAGACATACATATATTTTCTGTAATTTCTTTTCTTTTTTTTATTTTCTGTAATTTCAAATGTAATTCATGGTGGCCTCCAAAGACACAGACAGATGGGAACACAGGACTACACTTTTCATTACAAGCTCTTCAGTACTATTTTATTTTTTCAAAGATGTGTATGCACTGGTTCGTAAAAACCAGACATATGCTACTACATAAGTGTGTCACCTAGCAATTTAAGAATTAGAACATAAACATTAAAAACCTGTATAAATGTGATATTTTGAAATATAACAGCTATTTAAAAGCATTTTACTGCTTCAGTTAAAAAAAAAAAAAAAGGAAGAAACAAGAAGGAAATATGGAATGTCCTTTAAAGACTCAGAATATACTTTTTAAAGATGTTTTAAAGATTTTATTTATTTAATTAAGGGGTGGAGAGAGAGAGCACAAGCAGGGGAAGCAGCAGAGGCAGAAGGAGAGGGAGGAGCAGGATTCCCACTGAGCAGGGAGCCCGATGCAGAGCTCGATCCCAGGACCCTGGGATCATGACCTGAGCCGGAGGCAGACGCTTAAACACCTGAGCCACCCAGGTGCCCCCAATTCATTTTTATACCAAAATAAAACACAACTTACCTTCTCTATACACTTGCGTAACGTGCGGCTATTCCGGACCCACCAGCCCACGCCCATGGCTCTCAGTTCAGACCAAGTGGGATCATCTCTCTGCATGGCTGGCAACATGTTCAGCAGCTCTTCTTCTGCTACTGAGTGAAATGCCCATGCAAAGTGACTGGTAGACAGACCTGAGGAAATGTCACCAATAGTGTTTATAAGAAACATAAGTGTTTTTATAATGATTATCAGAAATGTATGTTTCATATCTGCCATAAAAATGTCTAAACTTTTTATGAGATTCACAGAGTCACAATTAAGTAATTAAGGTTGGAGGGAATACGGGTGTTTTTTTTTCTTGCTTCTCCTAACAACTCTATCGCTTCATTGTTTTCTACAATAAACACATATTTTCTATAATTAAAACATATTTTTTAAAAGATAAAAAATGCTGTGTGGCAAATGCCACTGTGCTGATTATTTTTGTTCTCTAGCTATTACCCACGACCTTTCCTTAGAAAATGAGAAACATGTAAAGCTTTAGTCTATGCTTAAATAATTGTTCTTCATTGCTGACTCTTATTGTCCTTTGGTCAATGTTTATTTTTGTGGATTTAACTCCATAGAATTAAAAGAGCATCAGGCAGATGGGACAGTGCACTGAACAGAACTTAAGACTATAGACTCTGGAATCAGAATGTATAAAATAAGCCCAGCTCCAACCCTAACTATAGAACTGTGGGCAAGTTACTTAGTCTCTTGATTCTTCAATTGCCTCATTTATAAAGTGTGAGTAATCATGGTACTACCTTATTACATCATTGTGAGGATTAAAATATTATAGTTAAAGACTTTAGAACAGTACTGTACCTGGCACATAATAACTAGTATGTCAGATACTTTTCTATTTAAATAGCATCATTAACACCAGCAATTCTCTCAACCTACTGATTGGTACATGCGTATTTCTTGTTGAGCTTCTAATTTGTCTCTTCAGAGTATGTTCTGTTTAGTATTTCTAGGTGAGGTACATGCTTAATTAAAAGGTATGGCTTTGACATATATGGACTCAACATTTAAACCAAGAAATACCCTGTTTTAAGTTACCTTAAATTTCAGTAGTATTTGTTAACTTTGAGTCTTGACTAACTACATAAGACTATCTGAAAGGTTACTAGACTATATCTGAAATACATATTAATGTTAACAGTAGTTTTGGGGGTAAGTGAATTTTTACTTTCAGTGTTCTGTATTCTGTATGTAAGACAATTAGATACTGAATATATAGTATTTCTGTAACAAAAATGTTACCCAATTTTGGATAAAAAACTGAACTTCAATAAATGTCAAAGAGGAGAAAGAAGATAACCTAAAGAAGTTAAAGAGAATAAAACAGTATTAATTGGCCTTTAATTAAAGTACGATGCATTTGAATATGCAACTCAGAATATCCAATTGCCCAATATCTACTTCTTTATTAGCTCTTTCTAGCTACCAAAAAAATTCCAGTATTTAAAGCAAAGAAAATGATGTGGAAATAAATGCTTTTACAAGTAAGTTAAGGAAACTGAGAATGTGTCAAATTTGTCATTGTTATTACATCTGGGCAAAAACAAACAAATGTGCTCCGGTCTCTCTACTTTTACTCCCATTTCTTTTAGTAGATTACTACTAAAATCACCTTGGTGAAGAAGCTGAGCTCGGTAAGCTGGAAGGGAAGTTGTAAGGAAAGTATGAAGTCGAACAGCCAAAAGAAATTTTAGACCACATTCATCAAGAGTTTCTCCACCTATAAAAAAACAAAACAAAACAAAAAGTATCTATTTATTTGTATTTATAAGAAAACAAGCAGATTAGCAAAATCCAAGTAAATGTTAATAAGATCTGATCTTATTTAAATCAAAATATGACAAAAGTTTTAAAAAGTTTAACCTTCACTATGGAGTATGTTAAAGTATTTTCCATGTTGATTCAGGTCCTAGACCCATCCCAATAATCTGCTGCTAATATGCGAAAGAAGAGTTGTGTACGTTCCTTTCAAGCATAGTTCAAGGGATGCATCTTACCGTCCAATGCACAAGGCCGGACTTGTTAATTTCAGGTCGTACTGAGATGTGATGGAAATTCTACATTCAATTTTTTTATATATGTATGTAACTCAGGAGATTAAAAAGAAAAAAAATGCTCTCTGGGTGAGGAAAAGACCAATTTTAATATACCTGTTTTTGCTGTTCTAGGTAGAAGTATACATTAGTGCTAATTTAAAAAAACCTTCAATATTTTATAAACAAATTAATAGTGATTACAACATGAGAAAAAGTAAAGCAGAAAGCACCTTTAATTTTCAGGTATCTAAACTGATTAGTTAATAAGAATGCTAACTTTTGCCAAACTCCAAAGGATTCAGTTGGATCTTTAATATTATTGAGCAATTAAGTAAAAATGGCTGGCATAATGAATCTTTGCATACTTTCTCAAAGTACTATGATTTCTGGGACAAACAGCATATATTAAAGTTAAAACTATCGAGGAGGGAACAACAATGATTAAAAAAAAAACCTTCCTGGGCGTAATTTTTATAAACATTCCTCAGGATTATTTTCTGTGTAAATAAGTAAACATATTCAGTTTCGCCTCCAATCCTGTGCCCAATTTAGTTTTACCTTGGCTTCTGTCTCTGCTCTCCCCGATATCGGTGCTAGTAGTAGCAATTGTATCTGCTAAGGCCATTAGAGACATCTGCTCCATCCGGCTGAGTCCTGGTAAACTGGAATGAAGTAAGTGGCCAGAAAGAACCTGAGCGTGCTCAGGACCAAAGTAAGTTGGACTGTACTGTGAAAGGTCAATGACCCTGGGCTTGGCATTTTCCTCATCTGTCTCTAACACCTGATGATCAGTCATTAAAGTTGGGATCTGAAAAAGCTCATCATAACTTTCTTTTGACAACTGGTTTGAGTTATTTAAGGTACTCTGCTTACTAGACTTCTCTAAAGATGAGTAGCAGCTATCATCGTCTGCCGCAAGTAAGGCATATAAGGGAAGTGGAGGGACAGAATCTATTTCTGTGTAATCCATATTTTCACTTTTGTTGAAAGCCTGGGGGTCTCTGGTAGTGCTCCCACTAGCACTGATAGTAAGAGACCTAAGGCGGCGCTCGTGATTGGATTCAGCTTCATTCAGTGCCACAACCTCCCCAGCAATGCACTTGACAAGGTGCGACAAGATGGCTTTTGCTCTCCGAACTTTGCCAAGGTCCATGAGTTCCAAAAGCTGTAAGGGATGGTACTGAGGTAAAGTTGGGGAAAGAACATGAGCTGCTTCGAAAAGACCTGAATCTTCCGTATCCACAGATGGATCGAAGGCAGTTTTCTTTCCACAGATTTTCTGTGCAAGACTGGTCATGGATCGAGTCAGGGTTTTCTTTGGAGGATGTAATCCAGAACTCGATGAGTTGCTCTGTTTTATTAAACTTATTAGAGATGGAGTGCTCCCATTGTATGAATCTGCTGTAACAGGTTCTTGTTTAGAAGACGGCTGCCACTGGGAATATACATGCATTTCACAATCCATTCCTACCACAAGGATGCCATCCCGGACCCATGATAAAGAAACAGGAAAAGGTGGAGAGCCTTCCACAGAAGAAACCAAGTCCATACTTCTTAAGAGGACAAATTTAGAAAGAGGCACAGCTTTAGTGCTTTCCCAGAGAGGAAAGGCTAGGCTTTCCTTACCAGCCTGTTCTTGTACCTTGCCAGCCAGGGGTCCATACATAAAAAGTTTTGATCCAATTCCTACAGTGAGGATATGAGAACCATCTTCTCTAGACATCCAATCTAAGTGAACTAAATGCTTTGTGTTTGATGTGATACTCTCTTTACTGGATAAATATACCTCTTGTTTATTATAAGCCACTAAATTGCTATCGATACTAATACCAGAATCTAACACTGTATTCAATTCATCTAAATGAATCGTCTGTTCGAGGACCCAACATGAACCTCCTGTAGACTCACATTCAAAAATACTGACATGCATCAGGAAGTCCTGAGAAGACCTACTGTTAGACGCAAGCTGCTTATATGCTACTGCTAACCGATTTGTATGTGCACAGCTAACTTCTACAGGCCTACCAGGGACGGTTATACTACTATTGCTATGAAGTCCATCTTCGATAAGTAATGGCCATTCTTCCCAAATGTATACCAGATCCACTTTTCCATTTTTTGATGTGTCAGATTCTCCATCTGTTACTCTGCATCTCCAGAATCTTACTTTCTCATCTGAACATGAAGTTGCCAATAAATAAGGAGCACTGCACATAGGATATATGGAAGAAGAACTCAGATGTCCTAAAATAAAAATAATCAATTAACAAAATGTCAAATTTGGTTAAATATTTCTGTTTTCATGCACCAAAGGTTTTAGTCTTTGTATAAACTACTGTTAACAAGACAGTGAACATTTAGTGTAAGAGTCAATAAGATCAGTAAAAAGCTCTTAATGACATCAAAAAGGTATACAAAAAGGGAAATATTATCAAAACCTAGAGCTGAAAGAGAACTCTGAGGTAAATTCAATTTCTACATTTTATAGGTAAGGACCCTTAACCAAATGTGTGTAGTATCTTACGCCAAACAGCTAGAATACAACAGAATCAGAAAACCTGAATTCTAGTCCTGATTCTCAGAAGTACTATTTTCTCCCAATTTTTAATCATCCAATTCTTATAAATTGCATTTTAAAGATATCAATACATTTTAAAACTGTGTCAACATTTATTGGCTCCTTTTCAGTATTTTTACCATTTTGTGCATAGCCCATGCTTACCTATGTACTAAATGGGCTCTCCATAACTGAGGGGTATTTGATATTACTGATGCTGACAAGATTCCTAAGTGGGACAAAACATTTGGGTCCTTAATGTAATTACATACTCTTAATTTCCCAAACCATCGGCAAGCTTTTTCTTTAAGATAGTAGTGACTATTTTAGGCTTTGCTAGCTATAGAGTTTCTGCTGCAACTACTCACCCTGCCAGTCTAGAGGAAAAATAGGTATACCCAAAAGTCAACCATAGGTATGGCAAGGTTCAAGCAAATATATTTGCAGAACAGGTACATGGCCCATAGCCTGCCAACCCCTGTTCTAAAATAATAAAATATAAACTACTAATTATAAGATATGTTATGTAGGACATTTATTGTACTTTGAAAGCATTTCAACAATTTTTTTTTTAACTCCTCAAGGAGTATAGCAGTGTTGCAGAAGGACACAATTAGCACTATTCATTGGGATCTCTGAGCTGAAGAGACTAGCTTACCTTGCAAAGAGTCCTGATTAAAAAAAAATAAAAAACAATCTTAAGACTAGCAAATCTTTGCCAAACAAAACGAATTTCTTATCTTTCCCTAGAAATCCTCTTCTTCTGCCAAACTCAACTTGGGCCAAAGTTAAATAAGAGGACTGTTTCTAGAAATATTTTTCTTACATTTGCCATATGTTTTAACTGGAGTTCAGCAGTGAAGATCATACTGTTTGGCTAAGGGAACAGCTCTTAAAATTGTGTCAATGCAGAAACATCATTCTTTTTCAAACTTTAACTTTCCTTGCACTGGTGCCTCTTTTAGTAAAATATACAGGAATGCAGAATTAAAAGTTATCAGAACACTGTTAATACCCCAAGTCCTGCCAACTTCACCAATTAAAAAAGATTAAGTATCTGATAACATGGCACTGAAAAGCACTCAAAGTCATCAGTCCAAAAAATGACAGAGAAGTAGAAAAAAACAAAAATGCACACTCTGACTAGAAAAAAACAAAGAATTGAGTGATAAAAAGATGGATTTTGTGTTGGTTTTCTTGATACCCTAAAACTGTGGTTTGTGATCTACTCTGTGCAATCAGAGTCATGTGGGACCCTTGTTAAAACAGCCTGGTAGGTATACCCCAGAGTCTGTGATTCAGTAAATCCTAGGGGTAGCCCAAGAATTTTTATTTCTAAGAAGGTGCCCCATGGGGATCTGATGCTGATGCTGCCAGTCTGGGGATCATATTTTGAGAACTACTGCCCTAGGATAAAGATGATAAATATATACCAGGACCCACGCACTTCGAATCCTTTAAAGACACAGTTCCAGGCAGTTACTACCAATATTATCAAAGTTGCCAAATAAGGCACAACCTCGTTACTATCTCTGCCCAGGAAACTCTGGGTTTTTCTTCATAAAGGCATCATGAAAATTTGTCTTGGAAATCAATACTTAAGATTACAACTGGCTGACAAATGTCAGAATAATCTGAAAACATAATGAGAATTTAAGTTTTCAATGTAGGATACTTAAAATAGCGTTTCCATGTCTGCTTCCATGTAGATTTACAAACAGAAGTTGTGCCCCTTTTTAAATACCTTTAAATATTCATGCATTATCAAGTTTGATTAGTCTCTTTTCACAAACTTTACTAACCTGCTGATGGCTTAACACTTATTATTTCAACTCCTTCTGGCAAATTCATCTCTTGGCTATAAACCATTTCTGAAGTCAGAGTCAACTTGCTAGTACTCTGGAGATTTGCTCTGCAAGCCTGATACTTCTGTGAAAAAGGAGATACGATCTTCTCTGGAGAAGAAGAATAATGTTCTTCTGGCTGCCAAACTGCTTCAGATATTTTTGTATCTACTTTTTCATCTATAAAACATAAGAAAAGAACCAAAAACCGGGGGTGGGGGAAACCCTGTAAGTATTAAAACAGCTATATTTTATAATCCCAAAGCCTTATAAAAAAATATTAATAGGATTCTTTATGGAAAGAAATCAGAGAATCCATTTGCTTTTTTCATTAACTGAATAAAACTACAATTAGTTTCACTCAATAAGAATAGGTTTAGGGAGCCTGGGTGGCTCAGTTCGTTAAGCAGCTGCCTTCGGCTCAGGTCGTGATCCTGGGGTCCTGGGATTGAGCCCTGCTTGGGGCTCTCTGCTCAGAGGGAGTCTGCTTCTCACTCTCCCTCTGCCTGCTGGTCTGCCTACTTGTACTTTCTCCCTCTCAAATAAATAAATAGAATCTTTAAAAAAAAAGAAAGAAAGAAAGAAAAGAATATGTATTTAAAAAATGTACTGAACTATCTACTCATACATAATTTATTCATTTAAGCCTACTTAAAGCTCCAGATATTTAAAAAAAAAAAAAAAGGACTCACCCAATGAGACAGGAATGGACTGTAAATGTAAATTCCACATGTGTAGCAATGAACGGTTGTCTTGGGTACACTCTATCACAATTAGGTAGAATTTCTCAGAAAATCCATTAGGTGAGCTGCCTGTTGGTATTAATATTTTTCACTATTAACATAGATAAATGAGATAACTTATTAACTATGCCAAGTTAAAATAAATGAATTAAAAAAAAAACTCTTACCTAAAATTCTATATACAAAGCAGCATTATGGAATGCAATCAACTTTCTGATCACATGAATTTGTGTTAAATTAAAACTTTAACAATTAAAATATATGTTATACTTTTCACTTCTGAATTGTCAGGCTTAAAAACAGTCACATATCATAGTAATCACTATCATGTTATTCACATAGGTTAGACCATAAAGAAATTTCTGAACAGGTGGGAACTATGTGACAGATACTTTATTTTTGATTAAAATTGTATTGCCAAACATATTTCAAAGTAAATAATTTCCATAATGGAATGACCTATTAATGAAGTTTATCTAAGAACCAAAATAAAAGTATTCATCATTCACCCATTAAGAATTTTTCTTAGTCAAAACTGCATGATTTAAGCAGCACACAAGCTGCTCAAAATAAAACAACTGCATCTAAAATATAAAATCAGTGACTCATTATTGCCTGGAAAAAAATTAACGTGGTTTAATGATGGACTTTAATCCAAGTTTTCTTAATTATAAACTAATCTTCACTACGTACAAAATTATGTGAAGAAAAAGTAAAAAACCATATAAATCATAGAATATATAAAAATCAGAAAAATAACCACAAATATCTTAAGTTATATTGTGTTAAGAAACTAAATGAAAAGGTAACCTTGGTAATGGGTTCTGGGTGAGTTAGACACTTAAATTCCAAGAATTAAGAGGAAGGATAAGGGATTGCAACTAAAGAAAAAAGATCAGAGATCAACTACTTCTGATAATTTTACTAACAAGAAAGACTGTCCTAATAACAAATGTATCTGTGAAGCATTTCTTCGGTTCTTGATATTAGAAAAAAGTAAGATGAACATGTTATATTTTGTGGGTGTTTTCTGGAAAACTTTGATAATCAAGATAATAGTTTTTTAGTAAAAGTAAGAATTTCCAGAATATTTTAAGAAAAACTAGGAAAAATATTCATTTTTAATAGAAAAGAAAATCTAGAATAGATTTAAGATCACAAAAAAACTCCACCTAAAGCATAAGAGAGTAACTTCTTTAAAAAATACCTGAGACGTGAGTTGTTAACAATATTAATGCTAATATTTTGATATAAAAAATGAAAAATAAAGAATATTTTGTTGATATAAATAGCCCTTTATTTTGTACCTGACATCTTTATTTTCCATTTTCAGTATCTTTCCATTATTATATTCAGAGCTTACCAAAGCACTGTGTTTTGCACAGTTCACAAATTCTCAGGGAAAATGACAGTGAAAACAGTGGTAAGAAATTAGACATTGGACATAACAGTGCAAACTCAAAGGAAAAGAAAAATGGAAAAATGTGGAATTAAGAAACAGTGTACAAGAAATCTAAGAAAAATAACCTGGAACAAATACAGAATGAAATTAGTATTATGTGGGGCTTAATAACAGACTTTTAAAAGCACCAGGCAAAAACTGTATGGTTCATTTATAAGGAAAGTAATTTCTCAGTTTGCTTTGGCTCTATAATTAAAACTAATGACCAAGAGGTTTAAGCTTTATTTTGCTCTGTTTTCCTCTATACAAAATAACAGTTAATTTTTAGTGGAGGAGGTTAATTTTTTTAAATGCTTAACTATAAAAGTATTAATTAAAACACTTTGTCTTTAAATTATAACTTGAAGCTTTAAGCTACTGCTTTAAATTGTAGATTTCTAAAAGGTCAGGTATCCATATTATCCAAACTGCTAGTGCAGGACTGTATCGATGCAAAGCATACTCATATGCTATTAATAAAAAATCTCTATTATGCTTTTTAAAAAATGTAACTGACAAACTCCTTTAATTTTTTCATGTTTTTTTTCCTGGTTTAAGAATACAAAACAACTGGGTGACTGGGTGGCTTAGTCAGTTGGGTGTCTGCCTTTGGCTCAGGTCATGGACTCAGGGTTCTGGGATAGAGTTCTGTATTAGGCTCCCTGCTTTTCCCTCTCCCTCAACCACTCTCCCTGTTCATGCTCTCTCTCTCCTGCTCTCCCTCTCTCTCAAATAAATAAATAAATAAAAATCTTAAAAAAAAAAAAAAAAGAATAAAAGACTACTGGGTATTTATATGGTAAATAACATCACAAACCTAATAGGAAAATTTTAAGTTCACATAGGTGATATGAAACATTATATCAACTGATCTTTATATACTGTTTAATGTACTCCACATAATATTTCTCATTACATTAAAAAAAACTATTCTTTACCTGCATCAGATAATATTCTGTCTTTTCCCAGACCTTTCTTCTCAAGGTTATTCAAAATGAAATCTTCTTGAAAAACATGAAGCAGCTGGGTTCTTCTGCCTTGCTGAATGTAAATAAAGACCAACATAAGTTGACATATATGTTATTTCCCAAGGCTGAGTGGCCAGAAAAATAGTACTTACAAGTCTGGTAATAGGATCTAATGCAATAATGCATCCTGGCCTGGCTGTTGACTGTTGACTTACGATGTTAAACACTTCTCCAACATATTTCTGTTTAAAAAAAAAACCATTTTATTAAACAATTAAATTCAAAAATAATTAATAAATAAATTAAATTTCAGTCATAGTAGGTAAATAATAAGTAAGTTCAAGTTGGGCTAAATAAATTTACAAGTTGCTTTCATTATAAACACTCTAGGATTTTACCTTACTATTCATCACAGAGGAATGAGTAAGAGTTATGGGTCAGTCAACGCAAAGAAGAACAAAAGTAATGCATGATAAGGGGCAAGAACATTTTACATCTATAAATGTAAAAGACTGACTTCATTGTCACAGAAATGTTCTAAGCATCAATGTTTTCTAGGCATTAATTTTGAGGTGAAAAAGATGGAACTAAAGAAACATGTTGCTATACTATTTATGTATGTGGGTTTCTCAAGCTATATATATCCTGACTGCTCTAGTCAAGGTCACACTGTTAAATTGGCTCTTCATCACACTTTATCTATGAGCAGCATTTGATTCTAGCGATCACTCCCTTCTTGAAATAACTGTCCTCACTTGGCTTCCACTATATGCCACATTCACCATACTTTCAACAATGGGATGCCCCAGAGTTCAATCCTATCACTTCTACTGTCCTTCCGTGATCTCAATCAGCTTCACACCTTTAAATTCATATACTGACAACTAGTTATTTTACACCTTCAGCTCAGACCTCCCTCTAAAATTACATCTAGTATACTACACCTCTTGGATGTCAAACAGTCATCTCAAAATTAACATGTTCAAGACCAGACTCTCAAATCTACCTGCTCCTCAGAATCAGCCTCTTAGACACTCTTCTCAACTCAACTCAGAGTCATTCTATTCTTCCTTGTGCTCACCAACATGAGCGATCATTCTCTTTTTCTCATACAAGCCCCCATTCAGTCCAATCCTGCCTATTCAATGTTCAAATCACATTGAGATTTGACCAATTTTATCATCTTTACCACTACCACTTGCTACCATTCTATGCCCCTTTGATTCTCTCCCAGACTACTGTAAAGACTCCTGCATTGGCCTCTTTGATGCCACTTCTGCTCCCCATGTCTGATTTATACAGCAGCTAGAGAGATCCTTTCTTTTTTGTTTTTTTTTTATTTTTTTTTAGAAATTTTTATTTATTTATTTGACAGAGATCACAAGTAGGCAGAGTGAGAGAGAGAGAAGAGGAAGCAGGTTCTCCTCTGAGCAGAGAGTCCAACGCGGGACTCGATTCCAGGACCCTGAGATCATGACCTGAGCTGAAGGCAGAGGCTTAACCACTGAGCCACCCAGGCGCCCCAGAGAGATCCTTTCAAAATCCAAGTGAGATCGTATCAATCGGTCATTGTCAATGGTTTCTATGTAATTCACAGTAAAAACCAAAGTTACCACAAAGGCCCAGAAGGGCTTGTAAGATCTGGCTAGGCTAATTTTTTAACTTTATCCCTGACTACTCCCCACTTCACTTACTCTGCCCCAGCCACAATGTCCTCCTCGTTGCTCCTTTACATAGCAAACATGCCTTGACCTCAGGATTTTTACCCTGGCTGTTTCTCTTCCTAAAATATTCTTCCTCTAAATATCCACATCCATATCTCCTGCAGGTCCTTACTCAAATGGTACCCTTTCTGTGACCAGTAACTTACTTGGCATTCCCTTATGCAACATGGTTTCTCTCTATAACATTTATTAATATATTTTTGCCTTTTTTCCTATACCCCTTTCACTAGAATGTAATCTCAGATTTTTGTCTGTTCTCTTCACATCTAAATTCCCAGCACTTAAATAATACCTGAAAAAACAGAAGGCCCTCAATAAATATATGTGTTTCTAGTAAAACACTGTTATATGTGTTTTGAAAAACCTTGCATTCTGAAAAACCACACATTAATAATAACTCAGGAAAAAGACAGGATGGGAGCAAGACCACTAACACCTGTGCAGCTGGATAACAAGCACATTAACAAAAACATTAACTGGTAGCTGAGGAGATGGCTTGAATCCCCTAATCAAGAAGCTCAGTACAGCTGAAGGTTACCTCAAGGGATATTTAAATGTAGATACTAGCGTGGTGGAGGCGCTAAGACAGTGCAGACGGTGGTTGCTATTAGCTGTGCAGAGGAAGAAGTACCACCTGTCACAAGATAAAGGCTCTGCGATGATGTTGGAAGGACTCCTAACTGTACTGCAAACAAGCTGAGAGCTTTTTCTTTCTGGGTTAAGATTAAAATTCTACTGCTGTTACTCCCGCTCCCACTGCCTTGAAAAAAACTGCAGACAAACCAATGTAACTTCCACATTTATTCTGCCAGTAGTCCCCATTTATCTCTGAGCAAAGAAGCATTAGAAAGACACATATTGTATGACACTAGACTCTATTTTTGGAATGAATGAAAGAAATGGTTTCTTTTTAAAGAAGCTGAGAATCGCTATAATGGTACATTGCAAATATGAAAAAAAAACAAAGTAACCAGAAAATATACATCTATTTATCACAAATTATATGTCACAATTCTAGAACATGCCTAAAAAGTATAAATTAAGTATCTAGAAACCTCATACTATACACTTACTTTTAAAAGCCATTTACTTACAGAAATTTCAGGATTGGAAAGCTCATACAGGAGTTTCTTGGCATCAATAACAGCTTCATATAATCTCAGATATTGTCCATCACTTGCTACAAAGCATGCACTAGGAGAGTTGCAGTATGCACCTAGAAAGTATTCACAAACATTTAAAATTTAACCCTGAAACGATGTCAGAAAATCTAAATTTCTTAAAATAAAACCAGAAAGCTTACCTAGACAGTAACTGGGTATAAGAGTGGGGAGCCATGCCACATTGGAAAATGCAGAAACATGTAGAGAATTAATCCGGGCAAGCTCAGAAACACCTCCAGAAAAAGACAAAGGCCCGACCGGATCAACCCTCCAAAGAATAAGCTCACTATAAACTGCATTGGGATCCTGAAATGTCACGTCAGCGCTGTTTTTACTCTGTTGTGCCAAAGAACATTCTTCAGTATTTACAGGATCACAAGGCTGCTTTTGGTTATCAACATCTGGCGTCCTTAGTGCGTTGTGGTGTGACGTTGTCAGCAATAAAGGTAATACTGAGTGGCAAGCTAAATCATTAAGATGAAAGCGATGACCACAATATCTAGATTTGTGAGAAATACTGAGAACTGTAGAAAAGGCAGATTCTTCAGCAAAACTGACCAGCCACTGATTCAGAGAGCCATCAGCATGCTTTGATATCATCATAACATTAGGAGTGAAAATACTTAATTTTAAACTATTAGTTGATTTACTGTGGCCGGAAGAGATAAGCATTGACGTAGACCGCGTGAGGCTAGAAGGTTTTTGTTTCCCTTGCTGAATAGCCAAGTCAACATTCTTGGTGCAGGCGTACATCACTATGCTTTTACAGAGAGAGTTCGCATCACCTGTGGGAAAAGCTACAGGAATTCTGGAAACAAAGGACACCTAGAATTAAAAAAGTAAGTATCAGAACATACGATATAACACGAAGAAGTATCACAAAACAGGACCCACATTTAACAAGCAGCAGCTCTCCTGAGATCATAATAGTACCTGGACTTGACGAAACATACCAGGCTGGTATTCGTCCAGCCAATCCACATGCCAAACTAGCAAGGAGCCATCCATGGGATGAATACTGAATAGCATGTCTGCATTTTTACTCCATTCAGACAGAAGTACTTCAATCTGATGATCGATGGCAGCTGATGGTAAGGGTACAAGACCTGAATTGGGTACCATTTTATCACTGCCCAATTCCTTCTTTTCATGATTTATTTTCAGATCATCCACACCATCATCCATTTCTGTAAGCAAAAAAATTCATGAGCCAAGTAAATACAAGCTGCTAAGAAAGATCTTTGTAAACGCATGCAAGATGAAAAACACAATAACACTTAAATAAATAAGAAATTGGCTCCCCTTTAAAAATAACTCTGCTCCAGGGAGATAAGGCCACTGGAGTTAACTCAGCAGTCAGAAGGCCTGTAGGATTGAGTCAGTGGATTAACAATAGAGGACTAATACTGGACTAGAGAATAATAGTTAAACTTGCTGTACCACAATTTACTCAGAAGACCTTAGATTTTCTCAGTGAAGAAGGCAGAATGGGGTCTATAATTCTGGGGTGAATTATTCAAATATATTATTCGAGTGTAATTTGTACTCTCTTCATAATATTGGATTTTTTAAAACCCGAGTTGGCTACATTAGAGATGCTCTGGGCATATGCACTTATAACTGATATGACACTCTTAAGAAACTATTTTAAAGGAATACATTTACAGTGTCCAATTTCCAGGTTTCCGTCAATACATAGGTAATTTTTAATAAGCTCCTAGTAATGTCAATGTTACTAGGCCACAGATAGTCCTTTAAGTAGCAAGGCCTAGGGGCTAACAGAAGCATAAGCATGGAGAACCCCAAGCCTATATCATCCTATAAAAGAAGGCCACCAGGAAGAGCAATACCAACATTGGACTATTTACCGAGCTACCTCAAAGTTGTATTAACCCATTGCAATTTTGAATGTCTGAAGCTAGTAGCTTATGTTACCCCAATATAAAAATCTTAGCTATTGTCAACAAAACATTTTTTTTTATCCTTCTTAAAGCTTTACCTTCATCAGATTTTACATCTGCCTGATTAGAGTCTTCTACACTGGCCTCAGAAGACGGTTGCTCAAAACTTTTTCTAAGTTGCTGTAAAAAGACTTCCATGGACAAAGTAAAATGCAACTCTTTATTGTTCAGCCAATGTACCACAAAAGGCCCACTCTTCTCATTTTCACTTAGACTTAGAGATGTGATAGAAGGAAGAAGTGGAATGTCTGTAAAGAACAACAACAAAACACATACACACAATTTATATGTCTATCATTCCAGCATACAAAACATTCACATCTTCTATTTCTACTATGTTACACTTATCTTTAAACCTCTGTACTAGATTTTAAATAAAACTCCCAAAATAATGTTTGCCATGATTATTATTAATGATAAAAGCTTTAAAAATGGTAGATTTAACATAACTATTATAAAGGAAAACAATTACATATTTCAGGTCACAGATCATATTTATATATATATACAGGTATTTTCTTTAGTTCAAAAAATACTCTCATTAAGAAATAAATCTATAGGGATGCCTGGGTGGCTCAGTCGGTTAAGCCTCTGCCTTTGGCTCAGGTCATGATTCCAGGGTCCTAGCATTGAGTCCTGTATTGGGCTCCCTGCTCAGTGGGGTGCCTGCTCCTCCCTCTGCCCACTGCTCCCCTCACTTGTATTCTCTCTGACAAATAAATAAATAAAATCTTAAAAAAAGAAAGAAATCTATAATCTGTAGACATGTTAAGAGGAAAGTCTCCTTACAAATTTCTCTAAGAAAAATGTCATCATTATGTCAAAGGAATAAGTGGCTTATTTATCTCAATTTTTTTAAAGAAAGATTTTATTTACTTACTTGACAGAGAGATCATAAGTAGGCAGGCAGAAAGAGAGAAAGAAGCAGGCTCCCTGTTGAGCCATCAGGTGCCCCTCATTTATCTCAATTTTAACAACTTTTTAACTTAAGTTTTTAAATGACCTACCTAACTCTAAGCTAGATAATACCAATTTATTAGCATCAAGATTCACATTGGAAAGCAGAAACGGAGATCCCCATCTTACATTCAAGGAAGGCATTCAAGACAAAACCAGGTAAAAAAAAAAAAAAAAAAAAAAAAATTCTTTCTTGGTATTATTTTTCACTTAATTGCTGAATTAAGTATACTGAAGTACAAATTCAGAGTAAATTGTGACAAATTATAATCCCTGATTAATAGAGAGGTGAAGAAAAGTTTATCTATCTTATTAAATCAAATAGAAACTAGATTATGCTGGAATCTGCAGAACAGTAAAGGCTAAAATGGATTCAGAGAAGGAAACTATTTTCCACAAATTTACTGATTTGTTTAAAGGAGAAGAAAAATAATTTGACTTAATTACCTGTTCAAACAGTGTATCAATTGTTAGATACCAGTGAAAAACAGTATTATAGGAGATGAATTATAAAGGAAAGGACAAAAGAACCTTTCTCCTACTCCTGTTGGAGGCAAGTTCTAAGAGTTGATAGATATATCCAATCCAATCCAAGAGCTCTGTTTATAAATGCGCATTCATTGCTATATTATTTGATTTGTATTTATCTATCCCTTTCTTAATGACAGGCTTCACGAGAGCAAGGATCACACTGGTTTCCAACACTATACCTTCAGTTCCTATCACTATCTCTAGTTGCTATTCGGCACAGACCAAACACTCAGGAAAAGTCTTGAGGGACTGTACTGCCAATCCTAGTATGCCTAGGTGGGTATACATTAGTGCCAGGGAATCAAAGAGTGTCCTCAAGAATCCTATTCAGTATGATTTTCTGATTTTCAAGTGACAATCAACACAAAAAAGATCAGCAATGCCTCTATGAGACCACAGGCCTAGTTGTTAAATACACAAGGAGAGTCCAGGTTAATGCTGGCTTTCAACAGCAGCACTCGTAAAAGGGACCTTATCTTTCTCCTATCTCCTGACCTCAAAGAATTTTATTGAAGCCATTTTTTTTATGACAGATCTTCAGAGAAAGGGTATAAGAATTATAAGTAAAAGAAGATGTTCTGGGGCGCCTGGGTGGCTCAGTGGGTTAGGCCTCTGCCTTCGGCTCAGGTCGTGATCTCAGGGTCCTGGGATTGAGCCCCGCATCGGGCTCTCTGCTCAACAGGGAGCCTGCTTTCCTCTCTCTCTCTGCCTGCTGTTCTGCTTACTTGTGATCTCTCTCTGTCAAATAAATAAATAAAATGTTAAAAAAAAAAAAGAAGAAGATATTCTTACAAGCTCCCCTCCTCTATTTCTATTGATGGGCAAATAAGTGAAGCTCTATCTGAAAGTTTGGCCTTGAACAAGAAACATAGCATCCAGAAAGCTCATTCCAAAAGGTCTAACTTAGGGAAAGGAGATCTCCATAGTGTCTAATTTAGCTGCTTATAATATTATTCTGCTTTGATTCATTCTACATATATGGATTTTCCTTAAGGTCTTAATACCTAAAGAAAGGTTTTAGAGTTTTCCTTATTGGAAGGTTGTCAAGGAGATGCTACATTGGAACTCGGGGCTTATTTTTCTGTAACCCTTCAGCCTTTTCCATTAAAGGTAAGAATCCAAGCTTTCTCTATTCTCAAAATGTTGTCCTTTATTCAGAAAAGACTTTCACAACTCCAGTAGACTCAGAGCTGCCTTTGGGTATTACAAGAACTGCCAATGTATGTTTTTTGACAAAGGTAAGGGTATTTCCCAAGCCTATATAAAGTTTTACTAAAAATAATTCAATATCGTCCTTTTATTTGCTTGGCTTACAGATTCTTTTAGAGCTGGGACTCTTGTTAACCAAATAAAAGCTAAGAAAATCGGCAAATACTCTATTCTTAGTGGAAGTATCTCTACCCTTAACTTACCAGAACATTTCTCTCTCTGATTCAGGTAACTAACGAACCATATTTATTGCTATGTTTCCTTAAGGAATGTAATAGTACTGCAAATCCAGGGGGACAAACCATAAGAGACTCTTAACCACAGGAAAACAAACTGAGGGTTGCTGGAAGGGAGAAGAGTTGGGGGATGGGATAACTGGGTGATGGATATTAAGGACACTTGATGTAATGAGAACTGAGTATTTTATGAGACTGATTAATCGCTGAACTCTACCTCTGAAACTAATAATACACTCTAGGTTAATCAACTGAATTTAAATAATAAAAAAATTTAAAAATAAAGAGATGGAATATTTAAAAAAAAAAGAAAATAGTTATGCTATTCTATGCATAAGAATATCTCCAAAATATGCAAAAATTAAATAGTGGTTATCTACAGGGGAGAAGGACTGGGTGGGGGGGCAGAGGTAAAAGAGGCTTTCACCTTCCACTTTCTGTACAGATGGTATTTATTATGTGCAAATAATGTTTTTAATCTTTTCCCAGTAATATGCTAAGGTTCCTCTTTAAATGCTCCAACTTTGACCAGATGCTTTTTAAACTCACAGAAAACATTTACTGAAAGATGAGCATTTTAAATCTTCAAATTCATAGATAGATCCAGATATTCTAGATTTTTAAAAATCTAATAGTACATACTTGACTACTGAGGTAAGTTTCTTAACTCTTTCAGTTATAACTTCTACATATTTCTGTCCTACTTCCGGAAGATCACCTAAGACTAAGCATTAGACATGTTTTATTGTTTTGTTTTGTTTTTTAAGATTTTATTTATTTATTTGCCAGAGAGAGAGAGAAACCAATCAGGGAGAGAGGCAGACAGAGGGAGAAGCAGGCTCCTCACTGAGCAGGGAGCCCGATTGGGACTCCATCCTAGAACCCTGGGATCATGACCTGAGCCAAAGGCAGATGCTTAACTGAGTGAGTCACCTGGGCATTCCTACACGATGGTTTTATTTTAACAACTATACAGTAGTTACAAAATACTATTCTATGGTGTTAACCTGTTAAGTTTTAGCTCAAATCGCAACTTCGGAATAAACTAATAAAGAATCTCAATGACTTATTAAGATCTTAATCACAAACCAAATCATAGCTTTAAAAAGCAAACAAGTAAGCAAAACCCTATTTTTTTTTTAAGATTTTATTTATTTATTTGACACAGAGAGAGAGATCACAAGTAGGCAGAGCAGCAGGCAGAGACAGAGGAGAAGCCGGCTCCCTGCTGAGCAGAGAGCCTGATGCGGGGCTCCATCCCAGGACCCTGAGATCATGACCTGAGCTGAAGGCAGAGGCTTAACCCACTGAGCCACCCAGGTGCCCCGCAAAACCGTATTTTTATGTAATTAGTGAGCTGGCCATAATGAAAAGTTAGATAAGCAACTTTTCTTACTTATTCAAAACTAGAAGTAAAATATCTTTGTTATAAAATTAATTACTCAAGTCCAAGAACAGTTGTTGAACAGCGTTCTATTACCCGTGGCTGGGTTGATGCTGGCGGCAATATGAAAGTGGCAAAGTGCGTTGGCATGCAGCGGAGCATTTCTGTGGACATGATGAGGGTCCTGCTGGTGTGGCAGGTATCCAGTATGCGCTACGACGGGAAGTGATCTCCTCCGACCTCTGCGAAAATGTCTCAGATTTACCTGTACCAGTAAAAACAAAGTAAAACCAGTGGCCACAATGTCATAAGCATATACATACATATGGGTTACAAAATGATTATTAGACATTATTCTCTACTTCGTTTCTCCATTTTAACTAATTTTTAATTCCAGTATAATTAACAGATTACATTAGTTTGAGGTATACAGTACAGTGATACCACAATTCTACACATTACTCAGTACTCATCATGGTAAGTGCACTCTTACTGACTTATTTCAAATATACTCTATTTCAGAAGAGTTTATATGTACAAACATTTTCAGTACTTTTGTGCAGTAAATCTGAAATCTGAAGTATAAGCTTAGAACTCAACTGCCTAACTTTTTTATTTTTTTTTAATTTTTTTTTTAGATTTTATTTATTTGACAGAGAGATCACAAGCAGGCAGAGAGGCAGGCAGAGAGAGAGAGGAGGAAGCAGGCTCCCCGCCGAGCAGGGAGCCGGATGTGGGGCTCGATCCCAAGACCCTGGGATCATGACCTGAGCCGAAGGCAGAGGCTTAACCCACTGAGCCACCCAGGCGCCCCTGCCTAACTTTTTTAAACCATCACAAACATTTTGCAATTTTTATTTGGTTTATTTTTCTGGTAAGTAATTTTCTAAAACAGAAGTTCACAGCAGTGTATCTGTGGATAATGATGTCTCTACAAATAGTATTCCCTTTGTGTCCAATTTATTCCCTATGACCATAAAGCACTGAACAATATGCCATCATACATTACGATGATATTTCAAGTGGCATGGCTGACTTGCTAAGCTTTTTCAGAGATCACTTCATTTGACTCATAAGGCAGAGTGCTAAAATGTATTTATTCTCATTTTTCATTTGATAAAACAGTTTCTACAGAATGCAAGGTCACCTAAGCATAGAATGATAGTCTTCATTCCTAGGTAAGACCTCTTTCAGCTGTTATTACACATAACCATTCTACCAGTTGTTAAGTCTCCAAGCAATATATATTTACTCATATTCTGAGCCCTGAGAATACCCTCCAAATTTGACAAATAGTTTTTCCATAATTATACAAAGCATTCAAAGACAAATCACTCTCTGATTTCCATATCAAGAAAATAAGAATCTGTATCACTAGTGTATGTTCAATTAATCTAAACATGAAAAATTTACTTTTACTTTCTATACTAATCAGTAAAATAAATACTTCAAGGGGCACCTGGGTGGCTAAGTCAGATGAGTGTCACACTTGATTTCAGCTCAGGTCATTATCTCAAGGTCATGAGATCAAGCCCCTGGTTGGGCTCCATGGTGGGCGTAGAGCCTGCTTAGGATTCTTGCTCTTGCTCTCCCTCTCCCTCTACACCCTGCCCCACCATACTTTCTTGTTCTCTAAAAACAAAACAAAAACCCACCAAAAAAACAAATAAACAAACAAAAAAACAAACCTTTAAATTCTGGGAGGTTCTCAAGATGAGAAATATAGGGGTGCCTTGGTGGCTCAGTCGGTTAGGCATCTGCCTTCAGCTCGTGTCATGATCCCAGGTACCTGGGATCGAGTCCCACGTCAGGCTCTTTGCTTGGTAGAGAGCCTGCTTCTCCCTCTGCCTTTCCCCTTGCTTGTGCTCTCTCTCAAATAAATAAAAATCTTATATAAAAAAAAGGTAACATGGGGCGCATGGGTGGCTCAGTGGGTTGGAGCCTCTGCCTTCGGCTCGGGTCATGATCCCAGTGTCCTGGGATGGAGCCCCGCATCAGGCTCTCTGCTCAGCAGGGAGCCTGCTTCCTCATCTCTCTCTGCCTGCCTCTCTGCCTACTTGTGATCTCTGTCAAATAAATAAATAAAATCTTTAAAAAAAAAAAAGGTAACATATACAGAACAGAATCTGATAAACTATTCCAATCATTCCTATAATTATGTCAGGACAAAACACCCCAATCTCTAAACAAAGTAAAAATATAAACTATTTTTACAGCCAAATCTTTGCATTCTCAGATTTTCATTTGTTATTGTAGCTAAGTGTAATCTTCCTTATGTTATCATCAGTTAACCTAAGATTAACTTCATAATTATAAGTAGTTCAATGCTCTTAAATACTTAGGCATATTTTTTAAACCAAATAAAATAGAAAGTTTTCTGAGAATTGTTTTCCTAACATACATATTTTTTCATAACTAACCATATACTTTGAATATTAATTAGGATGAATGTTACAAAAAAGGCAAATTACAAAAGGTTTTAACACTTGTAGGAAATAACACCTAACAAAAGCACTTACATCTAAAGTATTTTGAGCTCGTTCCTTACTGGAAACATTTCTTTTGAAGTTATTTGTTAAATTAATTGGTTCGGCCCAATGGTTGCAGTCACCTCCATAGAGCAAACAATCATTTGGTAAAAATGTCTCTACCCAAAGACGACATACATTATCTTTGCAGCAAGTCAACAATACATTACATACAGAAGCCCTGAGGAATAAAAAAATTTTAGAGGCAAAAATATAAATCTCAGACAGTATAACATTCTGTAGTGTTTCTGTAATTAATCAAATGCACACAACAAAGGTACTGATGAAAAAAATGTCAATACACATTTATGCAATGTATTTAGTAAAAACCATTAAAATTGAGTGGGTATTTTATTTCATCACAGCAAATGCCTGCTAACCTATTTCTTTTCTGCCTAGAATTTGGTAGTTCTTGTTTTAGGAACCTAAGATTCTCCATACAGCCAAAGAAAGAAGACTGAAACAATGCCATAATCTTTCAGTCAATAAACAAGAAAAAACCTACAACTTCTTTTAGAATGTTCTGATTTATTCAGTGGATGGTTACCATTCAGATTCCTTCATAATGCTTCATTTTTGCTTTCTGTAAAGCTACACATGCACTAGTCAGTGACAAACTACATTATTTAGTATACTTATTCTCTCCTTGTTAAACATTTGCAAAAAGCAGGGACTACATGAATAGAAAAATCATGAAATAATTACTAGCCACCTCCTTCCTTATTCTTGACTTCTAATGAAGTTTAGTGAAGTCTTTCCACTTTCACTGTCTTTCCAGTCACAAAATAGAAGCAAGATCAATTACATACATATTAATAAACCTGATAAGCATCAAGAGCTCAAACGTTGAACCCCTATCAACAAAGAGTACCTTTTATTGGGTAACTCATTAAAAAAAAAAAAAAGAAAGAAAGAAAAAGAAGTCACAATATCCTGTAGTAGACACATATTCAAACATATCAGATTTTTAAAAGATCAGTAAAAGGCTTTTATCAAGTAACTCAGTAAGTTAAAAATAAAAAAGGAAATCAAAATATTCTGTAGTAGTCGCTTTATTAAACAGAGCTGCTTGATTAAAAAAAAGATCTCTAACAAAGGGAAGAAAGAGAAAACCAGCATGTTTTGCATGGGTTGCTCTCCCCTTCAGCTTTCCTCCTCTGCTCTCTCACCTCCCTCATCCCCGCCCCTTCCTCTGCTACTCTCCAGACTTTTTTCCCTTTCCATTCACTTTCCGAGCCTCCCTCCCTCTGTGCTCTATCCGCAGTGCTCTGCTTCTCGGGCTTAAAGGCCATTCTCCCTTTCAACCTCTCCCCACATGCTAGGGCCCCTACTCCTTCCCTTTCTTAATCCTGTTTCTCCCTCTTTTTCCCTCCCTCATGTCTAAACCCACAAGGTATACAACGCCAAGAGCAAACCATAATCTAAACTATGGACTTTCAGGTGATAATGTATTGATGCAGGTTCATCAATAATAACAAATCTATCACTCTGGGGGAGGCTATCTATGCATGTGTGAATGCAAGGGATATATGGGAAATCTCTCTATCTTGTCCTCAATTTTGCTATGAACCTTAAACTATTCTTTAAAAATCAGTCTTATATAAGTTTTTTTAAAATTTGGATATACTTTGCTGGCTCAAAAGAGCAAAACTAAAGTCAACAAATGACCCAGGTATCCTACCAGAGATCAGTGTTTAAGGGAAAAACTGTACTGCTCCATGATGTGGCCAAATTGAAAATGGTCATGAAACAAAAAGCAATTTCTACCTACAGTTAAGAAACAGGTCTCTGTGATTACTAAGTACAGGCAAAAATTCAATGGGATATCAGGTCTTGCAAGGGTCACAGGAAAGAAAGGAAGTACTGACAGGTGTGCTCGAGTACGCATGTATAGGTTAAAATAATACCTAGTTCAGGGCAGAGTAATCTATTACTAAACTCTCTTTTCCACAAAAATGCTGAATATAGTTAGAGCAATGTTTGAGACCTCACAGTATATCCTCTCCATAAAGCAGTTAAAAACATAAAGGAAACCAGAGGAGATACGCAGAGAAGGTACCAGATGAGGAGTGAAATATGAAAAATTCCACGCAAATGACAATATGGGGAATGACTAAGAGACAAAAGAATAGGACACTTAACACCGAGAAGGAAAGACGTCCAACTCTGCCACTTAAAGGCATCTAAGATGGAGGTAAAGCATCCTTTCACATGGCTTTCCTCTGAAGTGTCGATCATAGCTGACCCATGGCTAGACATCTGTAGGCCAAGGACTATCTAATATTACTAAAACCTTCCTAGGCAAAAGTCCTATAGCTATAAACTCTTAAAGTAAGAAGAGCAGTCAATGTCCAAATGACGCTCTCTTAATACACAGACAAAAGGACTAGGTTGCTGACCTAGGCATGTACTTGCTTGTTTTACGCCAGGAAAATCCATTTACAGCTCGAGGATGGGCCAGATATACAAAGGAAAAGTCCATTTCTCCTTGGGATTGTTTTTCTGAACTTTTATCTGGAGAGGTAACAGCTGTCCGCCAGTTTTCTACATTATACCATACCTTTAAAAGACAGTCATCCTGATAAGAAAAAAAAAAGTAAAACATTATAAGAATTAAATTAAAGATTCAGTCAAAGAGCAAGGGTAAGAATTTTCTCCACAATCACCGAAATTTAGGGATGGGAGGAATGGTGGGGCATGGGGAAAATGAGAAGAAAATCTCTAATTCTGATAGTTTTCTATCAGCATTCCATCATTGTGCATTGAGAATTAAAGTGTGTGAATGTGTACTTTGCAAGAAGTGGATCAAGGAAAATGCTAGTTACCATGCAGTATGCTACATGGAGTCACTGAGGAAGACTGCTAAATAGGATCGTCTTCCCACTTAGCCAAATATCAAATAAGAAAGCATTACCACCAGCAGGGTTATGAAGACTGTTAATCTCTGAAAGTGAGACTTTTCATGAAGTATCATATGAATGTTTAAAGAAAGTGCTGAAGATGGTAACAAGGAGTTAATAGCTACTATTATAGAAAATACTCTAAGTATAATTAAAGCAGCATCTCTTAATTTGGGGAGTAAGGGAAAACAAGATGATTAGAATGTACCACATTTTGCTTTTAAGCTACAACTGCATTCCACACTTAAAGTCAATCAGAATGAACAGCTTTACTTGTCTCCTAACAAAAACCCCCCTGAGAATTTAGGGTATGTCACATCCCCTGTCTCCAAAAAACTATGATCCATGAGAACAATTAACTTCACACAATCAGTTGTGAGTGAACTATTTGGTGAACCAATAATTACAAATAAATAATTTCAAGGAAATATACTGTTCTGACATTGGCAGGTAAAAACATGAAATGGTTACAAATGTCCCTCTAGAAAGTCTGTAAATTCTTCTATTTGCTCAAAAAGATTAACCAGTTGACCAAAATAAAAAAGTTGGTAAATGGCAGCTTTATATCCAGATATACCATTCTCTGTTTCAATTATACCATATTGCCTTTTAACACATAATATTTAGCCCGATTTTTGCTATTTAACATTTTAATAGAAAATATTTTCAATGTCAATACATTAAAAGAATGAAACCAGTTCCTGTTTTTGATGTTTCAAAATAAACCAATAGCAATAGCATTTTCATAAATTACCTTCCCAGCAGTGGCAAAAAATTCTCCATCTGGTGAAAATTTCATTAGATGAATTTGGGAAGCAGTTCTGTAAATCAAACAGGTAAGAAAAAATTTTTAAGGAAAATTAGAATTCAATATTACTTCTAAAAGCTATATTCAGCAACTTGCAATTTTGTGATAACATAAGTTTCAAACTCAATTTTAAGTATATCTCACAGTTATAAAATAAGAAGTATAAATGTTTAAATACAAAAATTATTTTTATATGAAATAATCTATGTATAAGAATAATTCAAGAATTACTGATATTATCAGTCTTTAAACCTTAGGACAAAGAATAAGAATCATAGCTTTCATTGCCTGAGAATATGAGAAAGAGAAAGGTTTCATTTTCTAGTTTGCAAATTAAATTTCCAAAGCCATGAGATATCTACATTCTAACATACATTCTCATGGACAATAAATCAAGATTTTGAAATCAATTTTCCCTTAAGGTAGCATTTACGTAATTAAAGATTATATGTGGGATACTGGGGGACTTGTAAGCAGGCTGAAGTCAGCCTGCCAGCTTGACCTATACACTTGGCGCACACTTGCCTTCTTCTTTTTCAAGGAGCTTTGGCTCTTGTCCCTTCAGTGCCTTCCCTTCTGGCTACCCCTATATGCTGATCTCAAGAGCACACTCACTACCACTGCTTTCCTTTTCTTCACCCAATTTCATGCTTAGATAAATTTGTCTTAAATTTACTGGTAAAGGAGGCCAAAGAGGAATTCTGTCATAGTTCATTCCAAATTAAGATAACTTCTTCTAGGAAACAAACTGAGGTTTGCTAGAGGAGAGGTGGAGGAGAATGGGGTAATGGGGTGACAGGCATTAAGAAGGGAACTTGGGGTGCCTGGGTGGCTCAGTGGGTTAAAAGCCTCTGCCTTCAGCTCAGGTTGTGATCCCAGGGTCCTGGGATCAAGCCCCGCATCAGACTCTCTGCTCAGTGGGGAGCCTGCTTCTCCCTCTCCCTCTGCCTGCCTCTCTGCCTACTTGTGATCTGTCAAATAAATAAATAAAATCTTAAAAAAAAAAAAAAAAGAAGGTAACTTGATGAAATGAGCACTGGGTGTTAAGGCAACTGATGAATCACTAAACTCTACCTCTGAAACTAAGAAAAAAAAACCCTCTTCTTCTTGATTTTAAATGTAATAAATATGTAATCGAAAACACTGATACATATGTATGAAAAGAAGAGAATGAAATCATCAGTTTCACCTATACCACAACACCCATTTCCAGGAAAACTACTGCTAACATTTTAACACACAGACTTCCAGACCTCTCTCTCCACCCTCCCTCTCTATCTACTTTTTGTGGTTGGATATAGGGAAGAAGGGGATGGAAAGTGAGGTCATATATTACAGTTTGCTTTGTAATATTTATTTTAAAGTATGTAACAACCATATGTGTATATCAATGTGTATAGGTCTGTATTATTTTACTGGCTATGCTATTTCCATTACAGACACATGCAATGCCTCAAAATAATTTATTTAACTACTCCTGCTGTTTACTTATTTTTGCTGCTACAAAAAAAGTGGTGCAGTGAACATTCTTGTATATGCATTTTTATGCACCTGCTTAATTCTAAAGATATTCTTAAAACAAATAGTTAAAAATGCCTGATATCCATGAAAATCCTCTCCATGATTGTGACCTTTGTCTCCAGGTCTTCTCAAAATAGCAGCTAAGGCAGATCCTTTTAAAGAGGAAATTAGTCCACAGCACAAAATCCTAAAGAGCTTCCTAACTTGGAATAAAAGGCAAAAGCCTCACAATAACCTCCAAGCAGTCTTTACTCCAACCACAACCTACGCACACCCTGACCACAGAGTCTGCACTTGAGGATCCCTCTGCCTACAACATGCTTCTTGTAGACATCCTCGCACATGGCTTGCTCCCTCACTTCCTTCAGGTCTACACTCAGAAGTCACCTCTACTCTTCTTCCTCTTACCCTATTCACCTTTCTCTGGCTGTTAGATGTTCATCTAGCATGTATAAAAAGTGTTTTAAAGGCATCACAAAAGGAATGTGATCAAATTATGTTTAAATGTGATCTGGTTGGCGTAATCATCAGCTGCTCCTAAATTGAAACCCAAGCGCCATGGCTTTTCTGCTTTATTAAATAACCATTTTGGACAAATAGTATGTGCAGTCCAAGTTACTACTGTGGGCTCTGATCTTAATTTTTTTTTTTTTTTTTTAGAATTTATTTATTTGACAGAGAGTGAGAGAAGGAGAGAGAGCACAAGTGGGGGGAGCAGCAGAGGGAGAGGGGGAAGCAGGCTCCCTGCTGAGCAGGGAGTCCGATGCGGGACTCGATCCCAGGATCCTGAGATCATGACCTGAGCTGAAGGCAGAGGCTTAACCCACTGAGCCACCCAGGTGCCCCTGGGCTCTGATCTTAATTTAACTTAAGATTCTTCCCCTCTCCCAAATGCACGAAACACATTTCAAATTTTCAGTTCAACACACAGAAGCCCTTCGGTGAAGGCAATATAACACTTTGCTACTTCCTCTCCACAAGCTTACATGAAAGGCTCCAGAGCAAAGACAAATCTTGCTGAAGAATTTTCTTGGCAAAATCCTATTCCTTTTCCATATGTTAACCCTTTTTAAATCCCTTTTAAAACGCATATGATCTAGCTGAGAGGTGCAAAACACATGGAACCAACTGCTCTGAAACCTCCTTTTAAACTTTATACCAGGTCTACCTTCCTCTCACTTTAATATCTGATGTATTTCTTATTACTGTTTCATATAATATTGACTCAGAAAGAATGCCATTTAACATTCTGTCATATAGATTTCCTGGTTTATAGTCTTTCCCCACCTGGTCAATGCTATATTCCAAGCACTTTTACCACTGCCTTGAAACACAATAAACACTCACCAAATATTTGCAGCATGAATGAATGAAATTTGGAGTTAGTATCTCAAGGGCATAAAAAAATTAAGCCTGTCAATTCATACTTCCAAGTTGCTCTTCAGAAAAATATCAACTGCACTCCCTTATTAACAGAATATGAGTACCTGTTCTGTAAACACGCAGTAATAATGGATATTATTTGTCCTGCTCTTTCTGGATATTTTGCATTTCTTGATTTTGAGTGAGGTCCATCAGTTCTTATTTAATTTGCTATTATTGATATGTACTATCATTTACAATTTTCCTCTTCATTGTTCATTTTTGTTTGCTATTTTTTTCTAGTTAATTTTTAAGACCTTCTTTTAAAAAAAGGCATTAACTCCAAATTGCAAATATTTCCCCATAACATTTTAGTTTCCTTGCTTTACAGGAATTTTTCACTGATATGGTCACAACTATTTATGCTTTCCTCCCCCTTCCTTTCAGTTTCTAGTTCTGGCATCATACCTAGAATGTCTTTCCTAATCTAAGGCAGCATTTTTCATGCAACAGTGATAGAACATAAACATCCAATGTTAAATATCCTAGTAGCCACACTTGGCAAAAGTAAAAAGAAACAGGTGAATTTATTTTATTTAAGGGGAGCTGGGTGGTTCAATTGATTCAGTGTCTGCCTTTGGCTCGGGTCATGATCCTGGAATCCCAGGGATTCAGACCCACACCACTGTGCTCAGCCAGGAGCCTGCTTCTCCCTCTCCTTCTGCCCCTCTCACCACTCATGTGTGCACACATGCTTGCTCGCTCTCTTTCTCGCGCACCCTCAAATAAAAAAAATCTTAAAGAATAATAAATTATTTCATTTAAGCTAGTATATCAAAAATATTATCGGGGTGCCTGGGTGGTTCAGTGGATTAAAGCCTCTGCCTTCGGCTCAGGTCATAATCTCAGGGTCCTGGGATCGAGCCCCACATCGGGCTCTCTACTCCAAGGGGAACCTGCTTTCTCCTCTCTCTCTGCCTGCCTCTCTGCCTACTTGTAATCTCTGTCTGTCAAATAAATAAATAAAATCTTAAAAAAAAATTATCAACACGAAATCAATAAAAAAAAAACTAACAATAACTTATATTGTTTTCCTTTGTGTTAAGTTCTTGAAATCCAGTGTGTACTGTATACTTACAGTACATCTCAATTCGGACTGGCCACATTTCAAAAGTGTATTTCACTAGTTGCTACCATGATAGACATTGCAATTGTAAATTACCAATATTCACCTGTATTTTCTTCTAGTATTTGTTTCATTGTATAGAAATTCAGTGGTTCCTTCTTTTGACACTTCTTATGGTGTCAGATATGAAACAGACTCTATTTTCATCTTCTTCTCCAAAGAGCTACCAAGGTTGCCCCATAATGTAAAATGACAACTTATATATTATATCTCCCTGTCTCCTTTTATATAATTTAGCAAGTTGCTATTTAATGATAATCACAAAGGCTTAACCAATTTCTTATGTTTCTTTCCAAGTGTTTTATTCAACAATTAAAAAAACTGGATCTGCAGAACATGGGAAATTGTGCATCCCCTGTATATAAGAAAAGACCTATCACAGAATAAAAAATCTTCTATGTTAGTATAGTTTTACACAAACTAAAAGGCATTTATAATAAAACCCACATGAACAGGTTTATCACTTTAATCCCCTAATTAATTGCTTACTTGCAATGCCAAATGCATCTCCAGTCCCCCAAATTAAGATCTGTTTTATCTGGATTTTCATCTTCAGATGGTTTCTCCAAGTTAGCATTGGACCACAGTTGCAAACAGCTAGAACCAGTTAAAAGACGATTGCCTAAAAAATATATATATATTATTCACCACTTATTATTTAGGTATTTAATTAGTGAGTTAAGTCACATGGTCAAGAGTTTCACATAATAATATAAAAATAACACAACTTCTAAGAAAAGTTAAATAACAAAAAGATGTGGGGGAGAGGGAAGGAGGCTGTATTTTAACTTTGTTGAAGCGGCTTGGGAAAAAAGGGACTATGTCATATAATCTCTAATTTAACAAATATTTAATGAGCATCTTCTTTGCACCAGACACTGCACTAGACACTGGGAAGGATACAATGACAAAAGAAGCACTGTCCCTTTTTCACGATGACTTCACATTCTGGTAAAGACATACTGTAAAGAGAGACATGAAACCGTGCAATTTCAAATATAGTCTCAAGAAGGATTCATAATCTGGTTTACGGTTAAGAAATAAGGTGCACAGTAGACTTGGAAAAATAAATAAGGCTGAAAAGGTTTCTGGGGTCGGACTGCATTTTCAAAGTTTATAAGGAATTTGGACCGTGTTATAGATAACTTTAAGTGTGGGGGTTACATAAGTGGATGTGTATTTTAGAACAAGTTGTCTGAAATGGGGTGGGGGATGTCAACAAATGGACTTGAAGAGGACTGTAAATTTCCCTCTTCTGAGATAATATGCAAAAGTTATCTGTATAGCATGTACATTTTTCTAGAGAGGTAATCCATAATTTTCACCATGCTTTCAAAGGCTCCACTATACAAAGAAAGGTAAAGATTCATTTTAAAAAATAAGACTAGAGATAGATGAGATTAGGGAAAACAAAAATACAGGGAAACCTGATTAAGTGACTATAATACACAAAGGAAATCATGAGTTTCTGAATCAAATATGAAAATATGAAGCAAGGATTTGAAAGCCATTTCAAAAGCAGAATTTTCAAGGCTTGACACCAACTGAAAAACAGGAGATATAAGAGGTTTCCAGGACAGAGTCCAACTTATGATTTGGGTAATTAAGGAGAAGGCTGTGTTGTCATCCAAAGAAAAAAGAGAAAGAAAGCGACACAACTGTGGTCAAAAAGTTCAAAATAAGTAAGGCATTCACTTTGGCAATTAAGGACTGTGGATTTGTGTCTTTCTTGAAAGATCACTTTTTTTTTCAAAAGAAAGAGGGTCTGTGACAAAACACAGACTGTAGATCAGAAATCCCTGTGTCTAAATTCCAAATAAGTCACTTAATTAGTCATGTGAATTTGGTCTAGTGGGAAAAACTCTAAGCCTCAATCTTCTTCTCACCTTTAAAATCAGAAGTGTGTATAGAGTTGTAATGATTAGCTATTACTGTATAACCCATCTAGCACAGGCTAGGCACTTAGCAGAAGCTCAATAAATAGTAGCAACCAGACAGAAAGTCTCACGAATGGATAAAAACAGCCTAGACAGCATTAATGAGACATTCCATTCACATTTGGTTATTATTGCACTGTTTAGTATAGCAAGAGACACAAGTTTGATTTTTTTTAAATTGAGATATAACATATAACATTCTATTTCCTTCAGGTGTACAACAATCTGATATTGCATATACTGCAAAATGGTCAGCACAGTAAAATCTAGTTGATATCCATCATCACACATTGGTTACAATTTTTTTGTGATGCAAAAACTTATAAAATCTACTCTTAGCAACTTTCAAATATACAATTTAGTATTGTTAACTATGGTCACCATGCCATACATTACCTCCCCAGGACTGATTTATTTGATAACTGGAATTTTGTACCTCTTGACCCCCCCCGCGTTATGTATTTCATCCACCCCTCATTCCTGCCACTAATCTCACCTCTATATTTATAAGTTCGGTTTTTACGAATTTTCTTTAACATAAACTGAAACTGAAATTAAGCTATACCATGAAAGATTAAGAAATTAATAAAGAATACAAAGTAATTAATCCCAGTTATGAAATGATACAAAAATAGCTAAGGTATGGTACAGAGTATTGACCTGCACACAAAGGGTGGAGGTATGAATAGTAAACTAGGGAAACAAAGCATAAAAAGTCTTAAAAAGAAAAATCTTATGATTTAAGCCAGATGGAACAGTGGATCAGAAGAAAACACAAAGGCACTAGAGTGAATTTTAGTGGCATCATCTGAAAAACTTTCTTTATATCCCAATACCTAGCATATAGTTAAGTATCAATCAAAACCAAAATACTAACACTTCACTTAAAATATTTAAAATCTATTTATAAACAAAGTTCACTTGCAAAAATAATATACTAGTTGCTTCCAAATTTTTACTGCAACAATAACCTATTTCTTAACCAAACCATTATATTTCAAACTTTTTGATCATAAAAAGAAAAATAATAAACTTTTATGTAAATTTTAACTTAATCACAATAAAGAGATAATGGTCATAAGCTGTTGTCAAGTCACTACTAGATAGTTAGGAAAATAAGTAATTATCTTTTGATACAACTCTGTAATGATGACAGAAGAATTTAACATTAATACTATCCTCCAAAGCATTATTACTGATAAACCAAGTGTACAAAATTTCAAAGCAATTGTTGTTACGTTATTACTAAAGAAATTTCACTTAACTCTAACATTTAGAGTTAAGTCATATTTACAACTGCAATAAAATTGCAGTTGTAAATATGACTGTTCAAGAACCTAGCTTACTTGCTAACACTATTTTTATAGGGCTCTTATAATTTACCAAGTATTTTCAAATACACTGCCATATCTGATCATTAAAAACCTAGCTTGTGAAATAGATACTACCTTAATTTATAACTGCGTTAACCATTCTTAATCTGTTAAGTAATTTCTTCATGATCATAAAACTTATAGTCAAATATATGAACATTTATTGAAAGCCTAATATAATGTACCCGCAAAGATAAATACTAAATAAAATAGAATCTCAGCTCTTGTCTAATCAAAAATTTAAACCATGTAAACAAATAACTACAATAGAATGTTGTGCTATAATAGAATAAGCTTATAATGTATCATCCAAATAGGAACTTATCTGAGAGCAGAAGGTGACACTATTAATAAACATTGGAGAAACAGGTATTAACTGGGACATAAGTCTCACTAGCTATAGCAAAATTATACATAAACTGTTGTACTAAACTAAATGCCAACTTTGAACCCAAGTGTGACCTCTTTCCACTGTATGCATAAAATATACATATAGGTTACCAGCTTGAAGATATCAATCCTACATCCTTACATAAGAAAAAAACATTTTAAAACACTGATTTTTTTTTAAAAAGTATCTCAAAGATAATCTTTTATCTTCTAAAATAATTACCAAGGGTTCTGAACTTTGTTTTCTAAATAAACATTTTTCTCAGTCATTTCATGTACTATAATAAGATGCAACCTATCTTATCTAAACTGATGGCTTCTATGTTTCAAAGATAACTTCTTATATTCTAGAAATTTCTATATTTTGGGAATTGCTATATGATATGCAAACATGTCAAATTCCACATGTCCAAACAAAACCTATGTTCCACTATCTAGAACTCCTACATATCCCTCTTCCACTTATGATCACAGATATTCTCAAAATACTTTAAAATCCAACTGTCAAGTAATGTCAATTCTATCACCTATATGCATTTCATATCTATGTACTCCTTTCATTAGTCATGCAACATTAATTCAGCACCTATTACATTAAAGGTCCTGAAATAAATTCTTAGTTCTCTTTCAGACTACTGTGAAAGCACACTGTGTAAAGGTAATTATAAGTAATTATAAATATTTATCCTCCTGTTCCTTCCAACTACTGCTACCAGAAAAATTGTACAAAACCATAAATCCTAGCTTGGCACAAGCCACTTTCAAAACCTACAATATTTTGCTGGGTAGTCAAAAAGAATGAAATTCAAATACCTTAGCATAGCTTTAAAGGCCTGTTATAATATGCTGCAGTCTTACTTATCACCAAACTCATTCCAGCCTTAATGAAGTCCTAAGCATTAAGAGAATGTATCTTACGCTTTCTTTCTCTGTGCCTTTGCTCACTGCAGGAGACTGGTAAAATGGCTTTGGGATTTTAATGCAGAAATATATAAGTGATATATACACACATTATCTCTTCTTAAAATTCACTTCTTTTTCTCTCTTCCCATCTATCCCCACTCTTAATGTTAAAATCTACCTAATTGTAGGACAAAAAGCTCCTCTTCAATGAAATTTTGATTCTCCAGAGAGTATTAAGTCTCTTTCCCAAAACAACAGGTACTATTATACTGAATATCTGTCTTCATTTCAGTACAAGCTCTAAAAGAACATAACGTCTTACTTATTTTTTACTCCCAACAATCTCACACAAAGCAGAACTGAAATACAGGAAAGTACTAAAAGAAACAGCCTAGGCAAGTGATGTTTCATTTCAGTTGATCCATTTCTTACCTGCAGGATCCCAAGTTATGTTGTGTGCTATTGATTCCAGAAAAAACTGGCCACTCTTCTGCCATTGACTATATAATTCCTAAAGTTAAAATTAAAAAACTCATTTAACCAATTAGTATTGGCAGCTTTTCTCTATCAAATATATACATTCATGCTTGTTATTCTTAATAATACAAGATGCTATTTTTGGGGGGGGTACAAGTGACCATGCGGTCATTTTTAATAGGGAACAAAATGTTCAATTCAGTTGAGAATTATAAGAAGTATATGATGGAAGAGATTTGTGAGAGAATGACTACCTATTCCTGGAGGGCCAAAAGTCTGTCTTCAGCATAAACGACCAGTAAGTATATGCCAATTTGGACAACATTCTCATTAACCTCAGATTTTTGTAATATGATTACCTCATATTATTATAGTTACAAATGTTTAATTTTAAGTGGGCCTGTGCTATCTGAGGCTTCCTTCTCTTTTAAGGTTTCATCCTCACCTGCGATCAAAAACTACACGAGAAAACTCAGATTACGAGATGTAACATATCCATTATATTATATAAGATTTTTTCATTCATTATAGTAACATTTTTTCCAATTTTTTTTACCTGTAAGTCAGTAAGAAATATATGTTGCAATAGGACCCAAAAAATAAACGCAATCTAAGTTTACCCTTACTACATGTGATGCACTCTAATATTTTCCATTTTACTTTCTTTTCTTTTAAATTCAGGCTGTGGTCTAAGTTGATTTCACTAACCTCTGCAGGACTGAGACCCATAAACAACCTTTGAATGCAGCGGTTCTCATACTCTAGAACAATAACCTAAGATGTTCACTAAAAACTCCAATTTCTGAATACATCTCCAAAGGTTTAGGCTCAAAAAAATAAGAATGAGGAATCTGTACTTTAAATGAACACCCCCAGTGATTCTGATAGAGATGGTTTGCAGAATATGCTTTTATGAAATACTGCCTTACAGGAATGGCTCTTAATCATAGCATACATCAGAACCCTCTCTAGAACTAGACACAGAAATGTCCAGGCACAACCCCACCCCTACAGATATAGAAATCCCCAGGGCAGGATCTGGACACATGGTCCAACTAGTGATTCTGAAGTGTTCCACTCATGAAGAATCACCACCTTAAAAGAATTTTCTAGAATGGAAATAATTCTTTTTCTAGAATGGAAATAATATCTTTTTTATGAGAATCTAGAGATTCTCTGAGACTCTATTCAGGAATTACAGATTCTGTGTACCTTCTAATAAGTCCTTTTCCATTTGATCCGGTTTTCCCCTTATTCATCAAGCTTTTTTTTTTTTTTTTTACCCCTTTCTCCAAAGTCAGTGCTGCCTAACAATAAACCAGACTTTTCTCACCGACTTTTTAGCATTACATTAAAAAATGTTATTTAGTACATGAGAAAATGGACAAAAACTAAAATTCTTGATTCTACCCTTCATAATAAAGGCATTTTAACATAACATACTGAATTTTTTTAAACATACTGACTTTTTTAAAAAGCCAGTTACCTTATTCAATAAATATTTATGGAGTACTATTTGAAATACATCATTCTGGGCAGAACAATCACTTATTTTTACTACTATCAATTACTAATTCACAGGTTATCAGGGCCTCTAATACTGGATTCATTAAGTAATACACAACACAAATATAAATCAGGGGAGGACTATAACTCTCTTTCCATGAAATTTTAAAATGAGTATCAGTTAACCTAGAGAAAATGTTTTTCATTTACACTAGGTAGGGGAAAGAATGCTCATATTAGGAATCAATACAGTTGGTTTTACTTAGTTCTGTGGCTCAGCAGCTATTTCAATGGTCAACAACTGATTTTCTTTGGGTACCTGCTGTCATATTTATAAAAAAGAAACAATAGCTATCATACTAAGACAGAGAGAATTTGTAAGATACTAATGAGCTAAGTGAAAAGGCAATGAAAAATAATAAAAGGTATATATAAAGGTATATATATTATTAAAATATAATTACTTTTAGTTAGCATACTTCTGCACAGTTTTGATATCACGTCATTGTTCCAAGAGGCCCATGAAGAATGAATAGCTATTAACCAATTTTAAAATTGAGCAAAGAGCCTGGGAAGACTGACTGGCTTAGGATCAAATGACTAGAAAGCAGCAGATAAAGAAAGAAAGCAGTTCTATGGTTCCTAAGATAATGTTCTTAAGACCATACTATGCTGATCCTCTTCCATATAATTTAAATCACCAGTTTAATCTTCAGTAGAAATGGGTAAAATAACCTGGACAATTATATTTAGAGCATTAAAGCACCCAAGAAATCTAATACTTATAAACTGTTGTTTTCGCCAGTTTTCAGAACTATTTCTGAATATAGTTTCTTCATAAAGATAAACACTTACTGACCTGTTAACAGTTATATTACATGATACAATAAGGGGGGGGAAGTCCTAAAAGGTAGCTTAAGACTCTGCAATTAAAACATGTAACTTTAAGAACAAAATATTTAAGAAAAAACAGAAGTATATTAAAGAAGATAATAAAAAACAAAAACAAAGGGCCATACTTCACTACATAATGGTGTTTGCCATTAGCAATAAACTACCAAACTTAAAATTGTTGACTCTTCAACAAAAGTCAACAAGAGTCAACAACTCCTTCCATAAAGGAAAATGTCAGAAGAAAAAAAACACATATAATTCATCAACACAATTTGATTTACTTCTACTTCAATCTAAGATTTAAAACATATTTTAAATAAGGAAGTGGCATTTAACATCTATTTTTAAATTATGGTATAATTTATACAATTTATCTGATGATCACTCTGATTTTATACTCTTAAAAATAGTGTCTTTTAATACTCAAGACATTTTAATTCCTAAAAGAAAAATGATAAATTACTGACCAAATTTTTCTTTTGCTTCGGTAGGTTAACTGGTTCAAAAACAGAGATAACATTTCCATAGGATGCTGCAATCTTTTAAAAAGAAAAAAGAAAGAAAACTTATGGATATGTTAACTTACTTATGAATCAAAAGACGAAAGAAATAATACAAATTAAAATAAGCCCCCTCACAATTTCATGTATGAATACTTGAGAATATCAGTTTTAAGAGACCACCATACCTCAGTCAGAATTCCAGTACTGTCACCTACTGTGTAACCAGCAAGTTAATCTCTCTGTACCTTATTGTCTCTATCTACATTTAGAATATGCATAATACTATCTTCCTAATGGAATTAGTTTGAGGATTAAAACAGCATCTGTAAAGGATCTAGTATATAATTACCTGTAAGATACATGGTAAATATTAAGTCCCTTTATCATAGAAAAAAATGTATTGATAGATTCCTTGTCAAGTGGAAATGAGATAGGATTTAATCCATTTCTAGGTTATCTGTCTTCAAAGTTCACAATTCTGTCAGTGTGTATTTAGCTTTATAAAAATAAAACTTAGATCTATTCCTTTGTAAACGCTATAAGAAATGTATTTTTTTAATACTCCATTTTGTCTGAGTATTTTTAAAATTTACTCTTTCAATCAATGGCTCTGTTCTATAAGGTGGCTACTATTATAGCTTGGGTGAGCCACAATGAAGAACAATGAAATATCAGAAATAAGGACTGATAGATACAAAAACGAATGAGGGATAAAAATAAGAGAATATAATCTCAAAAAGAAGGGGATAAGCAACGAGGATGTAATATATAACAGAAAAAAAAAACTTTCAATGGCTATTTTTAAGTGTTCTAAGAAGTTAAAAGGATATAGAAATCATCTGCACTGAGTCAGTCTGAAAGGCCTTATTGAATTTGGGCTTTTAAGAGTGGGTAGGACTTCAAAGAATGGTGAATATTCAATTATAGAAAAGGGGCATAACACAAGTATGAACACAAGTGCAAAGATTAGAAGAGGTGAAGTATGCCTGGAAGTGACAACCAGCCGAGATGGAACGGAATGTCCCTGCTAACAGAGTGAGGTACGTACGTCCAAAAAGGCAGACCTAAGCCAGGTTGTACAGGGCCTCATGCTCAGGTGAACAATTTGAACTTTCCCAAGGTAATGGGAGGCAAAGAATGTTTTTAAGCAAATGAATAAGATAAATGCAGATGAATTTTCTCATGAAAATTAATCTTATAGTAGAAAAAAAACAGTAATGCTAAAATACTGGATGTCTACAGTATCAAGCAGCACTTCCCACTTAAAGTATCATAACCTACAAATTTTCTTCCTGATATGGTGAGAAGCCATTTATTTGTACGAATATCTGTGACCCAAAGGAAATCTGCCCTTTATAAAAATGACTATAGGGGGCACCTGGGTGGCTCAGTCCGTTAAGCACCTGCTTTTGGATCAGGTCATAATCCTAGGGTCCTGGTATGGAGCCCCACAGTGGGTGGCCCACTCCCTGCTCAGTGGGGAGCCTCCTTCTCCCTTTCCCTCTGCCACTGCCCCTGCTTGTGCTCTCTCTCTCTCAAATAAATAAATAGGATCTTTAAAAGGAAAAAAAAAAATGACTACGAAACCAAATGACCCATCTATTTTAATCTAGACTGTCATGTAATCTAGGTTATCATGAAAACATAACTCATATTGCAAGTTATTAAAAGGGATTTCCAACATAGCCAGGCTTATGTGAGTGTAGATATTACGAGCAAGTTTCAATACAGTAATGAGGATTACAGAACTATAGAGCTGGAGACCAAACAAACATGAAGAGAAAAGGGGGAAGTCTCAAGGATTTTCAATATTCCATAATAAAGATCATTTTTGTAATATAGTGAGAATGAAAGGTGTAAACAACAGAAAGATGAGAGACACTTTAACCTGTAAAGGGAAGGGACACAGGAGTAACACAGTAGTCCAAAACAGGGAAAGACTGTAAGAGCCGAAACTCATTTTACCATAAGTACCTCTACACTAGATACTAAGAGGTAACTTTTCAGACTGGCAGGTGCATTAGGAATGATTAGATTTAAAAAAAAAAAAAAAAAAAGATTGGGTCCTTTTGATTCCTCACACAAAATATTCTAGTGGAATCATATAGTCCAATAATATATTTAAACATCTAGCAAAAAATTAAGTAAATCTGCAAAGTCCACCCCAATTTAGCTGTAAATATACCTAGACCTGGCCTTGCCTACATGGTGCTATATTTAGCTATATACTATGCTGCCTACTAGCTATGACTCTACCTATTCTGCTACTGTATAGAACTGTACTTCACCTGATACAGAATCATAACCTGTTTCTTTTGTTGTTGTTGCTTTCCTACTTTCAAGGTTACTTGTTACTTTCATATGCAAATGGAAGTCCAAACAAAATTTTTCATTTTTCTTATAGACTTGGAATAAATTAATTAAAAAACTAGGCACTTTAGAAGAGTTGACCTCCATTTTAGTACAAAGTTTATCCAGAAATTATAAGGAGATACTACAGCAAAAGAACAACTCTAACAAATGATTTCTCTTTAGTAGTTTATTTGTAAATAGATTGAAGGTTTACTGTCATTCCTTTCCTTTAATCCAATCAGTTTTTAAATAAGTAAGTTTTAGATCTGTTCTACGGGGTAATACTCCTTTATCAACTCACAGGAAAACATTATGCTGTATCTTGAAATTATGTAAGAACAGAATTCCTGTCAATCTGAAACATATCTGAGTCAGGAGTTTGTTTTCTATGGTGCATCTCAGAGAGCCAAAGAAATTTGTAGCTACATTGTCCTTGAAACAAAGCAAATTCGACAGGAAATACATACTTGGGAGATTATCCTGACAAAAAACATATTCAAAAGAAATCTCACATTACAAGATTACAAACCTTGCCTTGTTGCAATGAGCAGTCTACACATCCTACTTGAATATTTCCATGTTTAGCTCCTGGGATTATTTGTAATCTTTCAAAATCACTTCCCAGTATAACAATGTCACATCCAGATGCATAAGCCTAAAAAAGGGGGGGGGAGAATAAAAAGGATAAACTTGTCAAGAAAGTATTTATCAAGTAGAATACTGGCATTAAATACTGTTTTAACTAAATATTATGTTTCAAAAAAGCAATTTTAAATATCCCTTTAAAAAAAAAACCTCTATTATTTGAGAATATTTCCTTTACCTCTGATATTCAGTCCCATCAGCAAAATCAGTCAGTCCTGTCTGCAAAACATTCATTTCTTCCACCTCCACTGAATGCTACGCTACCACTATCTCCCTCCTCCACTACTATTAATAGTCTGCTTCCATTCTTGCTTCCCTCTAATTCCTTTCCACACAGTCATGCCTTTTTTTTTTTTTTTTTTAAGTAGACTCCACATCTAATGTGCGGCTCAAACTCATGACTCCAAGATCAAGAGTTGTATGCTCTACTGACTGAGACAGCAGGCACCCTGAAAAGAGTCAACTTTAAAAATGTTTATTAAAGGGGCGCCTAGGTCCTCAGACAGTTTTAAGTCTGCCTTTGGCTCAGGTCATGATTTCAGGGTTCTGGAATCAAGCCACACACCAGGCTCCCTACTTGGTGGCAAGTCTGCTTCGTCCTCCTCCTTATGTGATCTCTCTTGCTCTCAGTCTCTCTAATATAAATAAATAAATGAATAAATCTTTAAAAAATGTTTATTAAAGCAAGAATTTGCCCTGCTTAAACCCCTTGATAGTTTACCCACTGCACTTGGAATAAAATCAACTCCTTGCCATGGTTCAATGCCCTTATTGTCCTAACTCTCCAAACTCATCCCAAGCTACTCTTTCTGTCCCCTCCATTGGCCCTGTCCCTACACTGCCTTTCCTTGTCCTGGAGCATATCAATCTTTTTCCACCTTACGGGGTCTTTTATCTACCTCTCTCTGCCTGGTCTTTGTCCATCTAGCTTTTTTTCAACATTCATGTCTTAGTTCCCAACCACACAGACAGACACACACACACACATACACACACACACACACACACACACACACACACACGGTCCCTTCCTCTCTCTCTTACATTACTTTCTATCACATTACTATTTATTCTTCTTCATAGCAGGTAACATGATTTTTAAGTATCTTGGCTATTATCCACTTTCATTAATGCAAGTTAAGTTACAAAACAAAACGATAGCATTCAAAAGTGTATCTTGCTCTCTGCTCTCACCTCCAATTCTAAATGAAGGGGCTTCTTTATAAATATCTATGAAATAAATGAAATATTTAACTTCAAAAAACAGCCACCATGACCAAACAAATAAAAAGGTATAGTTCAAGGCTTGTTAGCAAGCATTTTACAGTTCTTTTTGAACTTTACAATTAGCAGAACTCTTCCAACCAGAATTTTTTCTGTATATTTTTGTCGAACTTCTTAGATCACAGGAGTTTCTTCATGGCTTTCTTCTTGGAACTTACTCATATAAGCCACCATGAAGTATGACACTGAGAACAAAACATCTATCACAAACTTTACCCCAACCAAATATAAGTTCTTAAAGTATTAGTAATTATTTACTTTCTCTCATTTTTGCACCTGTACATATACCTTACTTAATGTAGAAGATAATAATATATACTTTATGACCTTAATTTTTACTAAGGCCAAAATGTTTCTGTATGTGCCAGCAAAAAATATTTGGAAAGGCGTTTGAGAGAACATACAAAGAAATCTGCTCACATTACAGACAAGAAAATGAGGCCTAAATAGGCTGATAGAACTTCTTAGTGGCAGAGTGGGCTTTAGAATCTTGATCTCTTTTGATTCTCGATCTAAGTGCTGTATGTACACCACGAGGACTTCCCTAGTTAAGTATCCTTGACTAGAATTTTCCTAAAAGGAACTGGGGACAATCAAGTCTGGTTCTATTGGCGTCATATAGTGGAAAAAATTGGCTTGGTAAACAAACAAACAAAAATCTCATGATGGCCTGCTCACCTATATAAATATCCACGGTAGGATCACAAGGCTTGTCACAAGACTATTAGCAAGAATAAATTCCAAAAACTTATTTTAAGAAAAATTTTTATTTGCAATATTCTAAATATATTAATATTTTAGAAACTGATTTTTCCCCTCAATATTAAATTTTGATAAAATACCGATAGTCACTATATCCCAAAACATTGTGTCAAATTACAAATATTCACAATTTAGATTTCCTATTCATTAAACAAAAAATTTTAGTTCCATTAACTGGAATGAATGAATATATATATATTTTTTTTTTCAAAACATGTCTTCATAACTTTGCCTTCCTTTTGCCATACCTAAAATTGTCTACCTACTTTCAGATATTGTATAGCAACTATTTTTAATCAACTACAACTCTCAATTTTCTGAATTAAGTTTGTATTAATCCTGAAGTTCCTCAGAAAATTACTGTTTAATACAAGTACTAAACATCTGCAGAGTTGAGAAATGCATAGTTAGCCCAGAAACACTTAGCCGTACAGAGAGGAAGATAGCAATTTACTGCATAATTAACCCTTCATCATTCACAGATTAACCCAGTTCTGAACTACTCTTGTTCTGTTGCTGCAGTTGTAATACACTAATACAGCCTGTCATTTGACTTTCTTTTAGTGACAGTACTAAAACATACAAAGCTTTCTCTCTCTAGTTTTGGTAAACTTCAAATCAATTGAAATGACAAATCTTATCTGGAATATCTCTCTTTCGGTCCTCATTTTCTTCTCTTAGAGTTATAACTAATGGATGACAATAAGCTACTACATAGGGGAAAAAAAGGGAAATAACCAATTACAGTCTACACTTCATGAGCTGACTATTATGCCAGGGGTTAGAATAAAGATCTTCGGGTATTTTTGACTCATGAGCTTAAATTTTTACACTTTATTTGGTTGTATAATTAAACATAGGATGGACTAAAGACTCAAACCATATTTGCATTATGTTCCATTTCTTAATCATTTTCAAGAATCTGTAAATGTATCTCCTAAAAAGCCTGCTGTGTATAGGAGATTAGCTGAAAAAAAAAAAAAAAAACTATAGTAAATATCCACAATGGAGTATCATACAGCTGTAAAAATAAGAAAGAAGCCATCTATGACTCACATGGAGTGATTTCCATGGGATATTATTAAGTGAAAAAAAAGCAAAGTACAGGGGCGCCTGGGTGGCTCAGGGGGTTAAAGCCTCTGCCTTCGGCTCGGGTCATGATCCCAGGGTCCTGGGATCGAGCCCCGAATGGAGCCCCGCATCTGGCTCTCTGCTCAGCAGAGAGCCTGCTTCCTCCACTCTCTCTGCCTGCCTCTCTGCCTACTTGTGATCTCTGTCTATCAAATAAATAAATAAAATCTTTTTTTTTTTTTTAAGATTTTATTTATTTATTTGACAGACAGAGATCACATGCAGGCAGAGAGAGGAGGAAGCAGGCTCCCCTAGAGAGCAGAGAGCCCGATGCGGGGCTCGATCCCAGGACTCTGAGATCATGACCTGAGCCGAAGGCAGCGGCTTAACCCACTGAGCCACCCAGGTGCCCCAATAAAATCTTTAAAAAAAAAAAAAAAAGCAAAGTACAGAAGGACATATATGTCATTTTTTGGGTAAGAGTCAAGGAAAATGAATCTGTTTACTACAATTAAAAACACAGGATTGATAAAACTAGGGAATAATAAAGTTGATTATCTACAAAGGTGAGGAGGATGGAGTAGAAGAGATACAGGAAAAAATGACTTTTGAAAACATATTAACATAATGCATACTCAAAGACAAATCAGTCAGAGTGGGGGAGGGTATGGTAAAACAAAGGAACTAAGTACATTTCAAATGACTACATATCCACACCAAAAGAAAGAAGGGCCAAAGGAACCAAGCAACTTACCAAACACTGATTTTGACCCCATATTTTCAGTCTTGGGTAGTGAAAAGCAAAAAACTAGTCCACCTCCCATGTTTCTCCTTTACTCGCACACTACTACCATATTCACAATACTTTTGTGGACAGATATGGGATCTTTTAACCACATCAAACAATTCTGTGACACCCACTAGGTATCTGATAATTGAACTCAATTCTGACACTATCTACCTGAGAGTAGCGTCAGATCTCACAGGTGAAGGGCTCAGTCTTAACTGAGACTGTCCTACACTTCAGATGGTAATCTCAAGGGGACCCCAGATTACCCATTACTTCTGCCCAACCTGGCTACAAAGGCAAAGGTACCCATGACCTCCTCTCTCTTGGATTTTTCACTAAAACAGCTTACAAAACTCATGTAAACACTTACTTACATTTACCAGTTTATTAAAAGACCTGATAAGAATAGAGAAAAACAACCAGATGAAGAGACACACAAGGCGAGACCTGGGAGGGGCGCAAGCACGGAGCTTCTGTCCTCATACAGCTGGTGTGCATCACCCACCTGGTACACGGATATGTTCACCAACCTTGGAGCTCCCAACAGCACCATATTGTTGGGATTCCATGGAAGCTTCCTCACACAGCCATGACCAATTATTAACTCCATTCCCAGTGCCTCTCTAGTCTATGGAGAATGGGAGGTAGGACTCAAAATTCCAAGCTTCTGACCTTGGTTTGATCTGTTTGGTGACCACACGAGGAGCCATCCAGAAGCCTACCCAGATTTTCCTCATTAGAACAAAAGATGCTCCTAGTACCCTTATAAACTACAAGGATTTGTGGTAGGACCCAGTGTCAAGACACAAATATTAGGGGGCACCTGCCTGGCTTGGTCAGCAAAGCATGTATCTCTTGATTTTGAGGTTCTAAGTTCAAACCCCACACTGGGTACAGAGGTTACTAAAAAAAAAAAAAAAAAACTTAAAAAAAAAAAAAAGAGCCAAATATTGTAACAAGTGATGCTCCTAATGTTCTTATCACTTAGAAATTTTGAAGTGTCAGGAATTCTGTGCCAGAAACTGGGGACAGAGACCAATACATGTATTTTCTATTATCTCACAGGCAGGGTGGGGAGAAGTACAAACAAATCCTGAATGTTT